CCTATATTTCCTTACCCCACACTTGAGTCGTGCTCAGGGGGGGGGTCCTAAACACACCCCTCATCCAGTCTTTGGACGGTGTCCTGACTCGACTCAACTGTGGGGTTCCCTCCCAGCCTCCCTCTTTCGCAGGGTCTTTCCTTCTTTTTTTCTCCACCCATTCGGATTTCTCTAACCGGGTTACACATGCTGCTAGTCACCCTTCAGCTTTCCTTTAGCGTATCCGGGAGGGAAAGCCCCACAGTTGGGTCGGGCCACTCCCCTCAATTGAATCCGTCACATCTGGGAGGCATTACGCCAACACTGCCGATCTCTCTAAGGGAGTTTTTCTGGGTTTTTCTGAGTTTCGGGGAGATTTGGCTGTACTGCAAGTTAATGAGGTATTCTGCAATAATTTACCGTCTTTTGGATGAGTCTATAGCACCCCTGGTGTCGGGCAAAGTTTTTCACCCATAACTTATCCATCAAAAGGCATAAGGTGGTTTTTATGCGAATGTGAATTAGTTACTATTCTCATTCGTATAAAAGCCGCCGCGTGACGATTTAATCAACTAGATTACTGCGTGCTCCCTCGGGACGCAGTCTATTGGTCCTTTACGGTCCCCAGGGAAATTCCCTAGGCCTTTCATACGCCCTAGCAAACTAATTCACCGTCGTCTCGCAAGTCTACTCTACAACGGGCAAGCAAGTTTCCCCACCCTCCTCCCCTTCAGCGGCGCTGGCAAATTTTCTCTATCAGCCCACCCTATCGCCCTATGCAAAATTTTTCAACCATAACTTATCCATCAAAAGGTATAAGGTGGCTTTTATGCGAATGTGAATTAGTTACTACTCACACTGCCCATGGGGTCATATTAAAGGGACTGGTTCACGATAATGCGCATGCGCGCCGTTTGTCTCTTCAGAATAAATTTGTCGGGTCAACACTAAATTCGAAATCGCCATTACCGGTACAATCATTGAAAATCCTTCGTTTTATTCGGACATCCGTCGCTTTGGCTGGTCTAGTTATACTTCGGTAGTGTTGATTAACGTGTGGTTGTGTCGTTTGACTGGTTACCTTTTGAGAAGACGCAAAAAATAATGTTTTGATCATGGAGGTTCAGAAGAGCATCGTGGCCGTCCAGCAACAGGACGTTCTCAAGAGTCTTTGGAGATAGAGAAGCTTAGCCTATCGATCTGATATGGTTCTAGGAGTAGTGTGTGGCTTACGAAAAGAATACACGACACTTGGAAAGTGGTTAAAGGCATGAGTTCGTTCAACTTTGATTTGATTTTTGACTCCGACCTGTAGTTATACTGCAACAGGCCGCGCGATCTTCACCGATCTGGTACACTTGAAATGTTCCTTGTATCTTTGCTTTACGATCGTATATGTTTAAGAATTTATGTTTTTAAAATAAATTATTGCCTGCATATTCTGTTTATGATCTAGTTTCTTTATGTGTGCTACTCGACAACATTTGTTTTTCGGAACACTGACCCGATGCAACCCGAATGAATTTGTTCATTTGCTCATAAGCAATTGAAATTTATGATCTTTATACTCATACGTTGCGTGTTTTTGTCACCGGTCAGGCGCTATTTGTAGGTATTTCTTGGTTTATATAAGGCGAACTGAGAGAACAGTAATAAGATGTTTGTTTACAAATTCTGTTTGCCGATCGGTGACTGCTTTGTCAGCGTGGGTATGACGTCGTAAAAATACACGTTGGTAAATGTTTGTTTCAAAGCAGGACAGGGCTGTAAATTTTATTCTTATCGGCTGCAACATATATCTGAGAAGTAGCAAAGAATAAACTTGAATTATGGGGATAAATAAAATCAAACCAAATGCCCGGAAATACTCTCGCGTCGAGAACAATTAATTTGAATTTTGTAAATTTACTTGCGTGCGTCTAACTCGCTTCCGATTGGTTGAAAAACAATCAGCTACTGTCAGAACTCACACATGCGCATTATCGTGAACCAGTCCCTTTAAAAACTGTGCAACATCCTTCTTCACAAACGTTTTGGTATTCAGTAAGCATATTGTCCATTTAGTAACGTGTATGGACCTTCATACCCTGTAAAGCATAGCAAACTAAAAAATCAAGGGAGGGCTAATACGAGGTTGAATGACTGAAATCGCAATGGGATGCTGATTAGGATGAACATTTCACTTTAAAGAATTCTAATAAACATGACATTTTATATAAAACGGTCCTCCTAATTTGCAAATAAATGAAAAGGTAGCCTACGTAGCAGGCGCTTGGAAGTAATGGGCGTAAGAAAGAACGGGGTGCGCGGGGGAGACACGTGAGGTCAGTGAAAGGGAGCGTCTGCCCGAAAATCGTTTTTACTCGCTTTCTGACAGTGTGGAAAATTCCTGTTGGTTTAAAGAGGCTCCCGAGGGGATAACTGTTCACGTTAGCGGCGAAAACTGCCAATCAAAGAAAACACGAGATCGTTTGTAAACATGTAGTACACGAACAAGGCAGTAAAGGTCTTATATTGCACCAATGACTGGTATAATTTAAGTTCAGTTCTTGGAGGTCACTTCAATGGGCCTTTGTGGCTGTAATCTTAAAGAAAAGTTTGTGTGTTCAAACGGTATTCACAAATGACCGATTTGACATTGAATACGCATCAGCAGAAGCGGCGACAAACAAAAGATTTGTCGAATCGTTGAAATGAAGATCAAGGGAAATATTCTCTGTTCAAAAAGAACTTGGCGACCTGCATTGTCAATGGAACGCATACCGTCAAGACCTGGACTGGATTGATGTAACTGACACTTACCAGGAGCATGGAAATAGAAAAACCTTTCGCTATTGTTATTTTTTGCTCGAAGGCGACCTGACGTCTGATGCATCGTTACTTCCGGAGAGTGTTATTTGCAGGTTGCAGGATTGAGGTCGCAGGTCGCAGGTCGAAGGTTGCAGGTCGCAGGTTGCAGTTTGCAGGTTAGAATTTGAAGAGTTGAATGTCCTAAATAGATCCTAAATTAAATGCATGGTTTACAGATCTTCCCGAACCCCTAAAACAGGACATTACAATGATGTTTTGGTGATATCATTTTCTTGACAGGGTCACGCGAAAGCGGAAATATCAGACCTCAGTTCTGTAAATCGATCCTTTAGTTCCAGACCTTTCAAGGCAAGAAGGAAGGTTTAAAATAATTGTTTGGCGGGAGTTAGATTTCGCATCCCTCTTTATACTGGAGGTAGGTTTTGAGTTCAATGAGTGGCCACAGTACCACACTGCACTTGATAAATCAGAATTTCTCAAGCGCAGTTGGAATTGGAGATCATATAGTTTTGTTTTTTCTTGTCGCTTCGCACTAAACAACAACAACAAAAAAAAAAACGGTAAAGAGTGGTGAATCTGAACCGGGCCTAAGCGGCGCTATAGAATTTGTATCTGTTGGTCATCCTAGGGGAACTTGAGTCGTTTCGAAATTACAAGGGATTCATTAGTATTTTCCCGAAGATTTTAGATTCGATTTAGATGCAATTTAAAATATTACGAAAGAGAAAATTTTTCTAATTCCTCTTTCCATCACATTTTTGAATCCTGATTTTAGGCAATATTTGCTTCTCCAAACAGATATTTTACAGAAAACAGTCGTTGGGTGCCCCTGAAAAAAAAGAAAACTAGCTACAAAACTCGACGTTGTATTGTTATGCAACAACTGTTATGCATTCATTCTTGCCAATCTATTTGCTATTATGGTAGTATTTTTCTTCGATTGCACTTATTCATCATCAATTCATCGTCAAAGTTCATTGTTTTTGCTTTTTCGTTTGACAAAGTTATTGTAGGTAGGGATTCAGTTATAAAAGATCGGGGCGTGAATTACGGGCCATTATCTTGAAAAGATTTATTGAATTAAACCCGATGGTGTTGAATCCGTGTGCAGTATCATCGTAGACACGCGGTGCTCAAACTAACCTTTTGTCGACGGATTCAACCTTAACAAACTTCAAAATCGCTAATATTAGTCCTACTTCAAACCAAGAGGACGAAGTTTGAAGTCTTCTTGGCCAAGGTTTGCAACAACGAACAACAATAAATAACAACTCTGTTATTCTAAATGCAAAAGAACGAAGTAAAGTGTTCAGTTAAATTAGAAACCCTTGAAAAAGTCATCGGCTTTCTTGATTAATTAGAGAGTTTAAAGCCAATTTGAAAAAAAAAAAAAAAAAAATTAGAGGCGTCTACGAGACTCGGAAGAGCTGTAAAATGGAGACTAGACACACAACACACACATGCACTACTGATCACTCAATAGTATCTATATGTATGCTACGTATATACCTAAGGCAAAGATTAGCATACACATATCGCTTTCGCACTTGTGAGTGGAGCTTCCCATGTAGGGTTTCTTGCAAAAACGAAACAAAAACGTACCTAAATTGAAATGGATGTTTCACCTGACCCGCTTGCTTGCAGAAGTGACCATTCACACACTGAATAAAGGTTCTGCCCTAACCCATGCATGACATCATAATTATTAAAGTGGAATGGTTATGAAACCCGTTTGACTTCTTTTACATGTTTTTGTTAGCTTTTTTGGACCTAACTGTGCACAACCCTGCACAACGTTCAATAGCATTCCTATCATGAACTTGATCTTACTGGCCAATAGAAACATTGCATTGATTTATTCAGTAACAATTTGTGAACAAACAACAAAGGATTGTGCACGGTCAGGGAAAGATACTAAAACTGAATTTTCCTCTACGTGCTGTAGCCTTTATCCGAGAGTTTGGAACAAAAATGTGCAATGACGGCAAAGAAATGTACAAGAAAGCGTGATACAAGTGCAAAGTTGTTGTTAAAACCATTTCTTTTTGCAATTGAGGCCGCAGCGAGATTTTCCAAACATGGTATTTAAAAAAATGAATCAGTAATCACGAGGATTGAACGCGACTTATACTCATTTCAACCCCATATGAGTTTCTGGTTTTACAACAGACGTTAACCCCTTTCAGAAAACTCCGATTGAATTTTTTCTGTTAGGTTTTAACTTTGACCCGGTAAATTAAGTATTCTAGTAGATACATCATTTCTGGTGTGACTTTATGGAAAGTATTTGGGTAATCTGAGCAGCATTCGGGTCCATTTTTATAAGGAAGAGGAAAGCTGTATTTCGAGAGGAACTTATGTGGTGGACGGCCGGGTATCAATTGACTTGCAGTTCTAAACTGAAAAAAGGTTTCTCTTCCTCTTGAATCCCTCGTACTCACGGGCTTCACACCCTTAGATTTAAGACATTTTCCTACAAATATATCTTCACCACCTCCTGGTGGGCAGCCACCCTCGTCCAGCGCTTTCTTGAATATTCTTAACGTTTCGCGGCTGAAAACGTAGCCGGCCCCTCCAGTGTTGTACCCGCCATCTTTAGTATACATCCTTCCGATATAATGAGGATCCGAGGGATTCAACTTGGACAGAAAATAGCGGAGATTTTCCATGATCACGTAAGTGTCGTCATCTGCCTTCAAAAACCAATCAGCGTCGTTTATGTGGCGTTGATAAATATATTCCAACGATAAACGGGTTTTTTTGAACAGTCTATCTCTTCCTTCTTCGACATTTAACCCGATTGCAGGAAAGCTGGAATCCGCTTTCGAACTGAAGAACAAAAGCATATCACAGCGTTTTCCCCATGTATCCTTCACTGATTTTGCTCTTTCTGCGAGGTTGGTTGGAGAGGTTGGTACCCAGCATAAGATTCGAGGTCGTTTAGTTTCATTTCTGTTGAAACCATTTTGGTGAAGATGCCTGTCTGCATTAGCATTGTATTGGGGACGTTTGCTTGCCGCTATTTCGAGGCGTTTATGCCAATACTGCATATAATTATTATGTTCAAAGAAGAACATTGTCACCATACCAAGAACTAGAATGGAGGCAAATTGAAAAATAATAATAGGCAAACTTGTCGCACCATATCGTACCATGTTTGGTTTGATTACAATCTGCTGGGTGTATTTTCTTCTAGCTGGGCTCTAAAAGGTTCAGGTTCTCGAATACCTTTCTATTCAAAAGCATCTAGAAAGAAAAAAGAACAAGAGAAAGCAAATGAAAGCTTGTTGTCCGCTTTCGTGATTATTCATTCAAGTGACCCCCCTGGTTTCAATTCTTTAGAAACAGCGTATGTTTTTATGTTAAAATTACAAAAGTGTACTTTTTCTTCTATAGAAATCTCACAAATGGCCATTTAATGATACTTTGGCTTGATCATAGATTATAACGCTTCCGTTAGTACCTTCCGTATTACTTTCACGCAGTTGTTTTTACCATTTCATTTTCTCTCCTTTACTCTATGAATTATCAAACGGGTTGATTCTTCTTTTTATTTCTTTCTTATTGCCTTTGAGTATAATTGCGGCCCGCACAGGACAACTCCTTATTTTTGTCTTTTTTGTCAATTAAGCGGGCGGACATCCTCTATTAAGCAGACACTAAGCAGGGGGGTGGTTAAGCGAGAAATCAAACCCAAATCCAATGGAAGACATGTAACGTCGTCGATTGGACTTCCTGGGTACTTTTACTAACTTCCTGGTTTTTTTTTTAGTTAAATTTTTTTTCCGAACTGAAATATAATCTTGAATTCTTTCACGCAGAAACGAAATACAAAATAAAAATAAGAAATTTAGCCTGATGGGAATTACTCATAGACAGCGAAAAGCGACACAATTAACACAACAACGTTAGTTCAAGCAACTTTGGTAGAGATTTAAAATGGAAAAAGTAAAATGCTCGCTGCGAACAGCAAACAGTGTTGCCGACAGCCGCAGACGTTTGGTTTTAGAATGCCGACCCATTTTTAGTTCCATCGAAAAATTATTTTAACGACACGTGACAATTAACCTACACTTATTTTTGCTCAAATTCCTGAGTTAAGCCCGGGCTTAATGACTTAAAGGCAGCTACGTAACTGAGAGTGACAGTAAGTTCGGTATAGATTTATTAAGATAGTACACATGTATCAGCTTTGTACCTTGTTATGAATTGTAAGTGAATAACATATGTCATTTTAGTCGATTTACGTGTAACCACACATTTATTCATTCAAAATATTGCCTAATTCTGATTGGCTAAAAGCACACGCATAATTCACCATAACCAGTTACTGATGACCAAATTTGGAAGAATTTAGTGTTTAACGAGGAAATGACGTCAAAAATGCAGCCTTCTACAGGTTAATGTACCGTTAACCGAGAAGACCTGGGGACGAGATTGAGTTGTTTTCGTTGTAAAAACTAAAATGGCGGACACTTCACTCGTTTTAAGAGTAAGAACTACAGCTGGAAATAGGCGAAATAATGGCTAAAAACATAGCAAAAACAGCAAGAAGACAACTCGGAGGGCGACATCTGCTATTTAGAGAATATTTGCGGAGCTGGACAAACCTAAACGTAAACTATCGAAGATAAACTTAACATCGATGCAGGTAAGCTTGTTTTAGCTATGTTTTTAAACTAGGAATCAGTTTGAATGAATAATAAAACAATTATTGAATTCGGCTTTCGTATCATATGAAGATTTATGGAGATCTCGGAGGTTGTTATCCGCCTCGGCCTACGGCTTCGACGGATAACACCCTCCTCGATCTCCATATTTCTTCATAATATATTTAGCCTCATTCATTAATTGTTAAATATATAAAATGTCAGCAAGTCCACAGCAACAGATCAATGAGTGGTGCCGGATCTCCCAGTTGTACACCTGGATCAGTACAATTTAAAAACTTGTAGAAAAATATGAAACGGGAAACTGATCCTTACGGCAGGGCGATGAAGAAGTAAACAGAAGAAAAAAACAAAAGAGGTAATATATACACCTTATTCGATGGTTTAGCATGTAATACGTGCGGATATTTTGCGAGTTGCGTAGTATTTTTCCGAGCCCCGCAGGGGCGAGGAAAAATACGAGTAATGAGCAAAATGGTATTTTGGCTTCTATTTTCTAATAAGAGTATCCAAAACATCCTGATTCTGTCAGCAATGGTTGCTCCTTTTGCATCCGCCGGTATTCGCCCTGTTGTAAACCGGTTAAACCAGAACACTACAGTGTATTACGGCCTCGTATTTTAGTTGTTCTCTTGACCTTATATGGTAAAATGACATAATAGTGGAATAATAATAACAGTTATTAATGTGCTCAGTACTGGGTCATCAGCGTGACAGAAAAATGTCAGAAAATAGCATTTCTGTTTGCAAGACTTTGTTGCTTTCATTAACGTTCATTTAATATCACTTGACTGTTAACTTTTCATTTATCAGTTAACTACTAATTTTTTTGGCCAATTATCAGTTAACTACTGGTTTTACCCAAATATCAGTTAACTGTTAACTTCATTCCACCCCCTTATTAAGATAGTACACATGTATCAGCTTTGTGTCATGAATTGTAAGTGAATTATATGTCATTTTAGTAGATTTAACCACACTGTTGACTCTGAAGATGATTACCGCACAGGTTGTCGAAACGTCAGTCACTGTCAACAACAACAGTCCTATTCAGGACTACGTTCACCCGGACGATGAAACTCAACCTACTTTTGAACTGTTATTCTTCTCGCTTTACAATACATTAGTTAAACGAGATGCCTATTATTCTTGACTCTGTCTACGTCAGTGTTGTAAATAAGAGTGAAAATATTTTGTTCTCGTTTCACTGCAGAGTGAAAACAGAGTCGTTAGGACCTTTTTGAGCTGAACTGACACTTTTTAAGACTTCTAAGGATGTAAGTATATAGCTGTTCATATACTCCATACGAATCAAACTTAATAAAACATGATAATTCTTTAGTTGGAACATAGTTATTATTCCGCTCTATTAACTGTGGTTTGAATTTTGATGGCGTCACGTTTTAAGTTTCAATTCAAATTTTTTCAGAACAGCCGTCACGCGGAAAATTATCCGACATTAGATTCTCGTACAAACCGACTGTAATTTCTCACGCGGTTGCCTTCTCGTCAAGATGGCTTCCGAAACCTTAACAAGGTCTATAGGCCGATCACTACATTCAGAGATCCTTAATGAAGACAGGATGAAGCTCAAAACGTCTTCACGGTGGCCACCTCCCTTTCTGTTTAATATTCAAAAGTGTATTCATGATTATCAAAGTATCGAAATGTAATTTCAGTGATTAGTGAATTCCCATTTGGTTTTTGTTCTTTGTTTTTGCTTTTTCGTTTGACAACGGTATTGTAGGTAGCGATTCAGTTATTAAGGTTCGGGCGTGAATAACGGGTCATTATCTTGAAAAGATTTATTGAATAATACCCGATGTAAACACGCGATGCTTAAACCAAACTTTTGACGAGGATTCTCATAAAACTTCAAAGGCGCTATTAGGCGTCCTGCTTCAAACCGAGATGAGGAAGTTTGAAGCCTTGCTAGGTCAAGGCTTGCAAACCGAACAACACTTATAATAACTCTCTTATTCTAAATGGAAAAGAACGAAATTAAAGTGTCAAGTTAGATTAGATAACAGAAAGGCGTTGGCTTCCTTGAATACGGTAACCAGAGAGTTTTGGAAACCAAACTGATTACGACGCTCGGAGGAGACACATATCGTACAATGGACAATAAACACACGACACACACATGCACTAATATCTTCCTGGGGCAAAAAGGAATTAAAACAAATCAAGCTTATACCTTCGCACTTGCGAAGTGGAACTTCCGAATGATGTACTCGATGTAGGGTTTCTTGCAAAAACAAAACAAAAACGTACCTAAATTGAAATCACGTTTCACCTGACCTGCTTGCTTGCGGAACTACACATTCACACACTGAATCAAAGTTCTGCCCATAGTTAGTACTACTAACTATGTTCTGCCCTAACCCATGCATGACATATATGCATCTTCTACAAGCATGTAATTATTTTGGAGACAAAAGGGCGTTGAAATGGACGCGACAAGCAGCCTGAAGGTATTGTGGGTAGTTTAGTGGGCGAAAACAATCTTTATTTTGGTGTTTCTTGATGTTACGGAAACTATTGGCCCTGAGGCTCAACCCCTTACTTTTAAAAAACCATTTTTAACAGACAAGGAACCCCTTTCGTATGAATTTTCATTAACAAATGGTGACCCTTTCACATACTTAGTTTAGAGCTTTCCATCCCTTTTAACTGCTATAAATGCACGTAGGGCATACCCTGCGGGGTTGAATTTTTCCTGTTAGGTTTTACCTTTGACACTGTAAATTAAGTATTCAAGTAGATACATTATTTCTTGTGTGACTTTATGGAAAGTACTTGGGTAATCTGAGCAGAAAGCGGGTCTATTTTCATAAGGAAGAGGAAAGCTGTAATTGAAGAGGAACTCATGCGGTGGACGACCGGGTATCAATTGTGGTGTAGTCAATTCCTCGTACTCACGGGTTTCGCACCCCGAGATTTAAGACATTTTCCTATAAATGTGCCTTCACCACCTCCTCGTGGGCATCCACCCTCGTCCAGCACTTTCTTGAATATTCTTAACGTCTCGCGGCTGAAAACGTAGCCGGCCCCTCCCGTGTTGAGATCCGCCATAAGTAGTAAACATCCTTCCGATATAATGAGGATCCGAGGGATTTAACTTGGACAGAAAATAGCGGAGATTTTCCGTGATCTAAAACCACTCAGCGTCGTGCATATGGTGTTGATAAATGTAATGCGCGGGTTTTGTTAACCAGAGCTTTTTTTTTCCTTCTTCAACATTTAACCCGATTGCAGGAAATCTGGAATCCACTTTCGAACTGAAGAACAAGAGCACATCACAGCGTTTTCCCCATGTATTCACTGATTTTGCTCTTTCAGTGAGGCTGGTTGGAGAGGTTGCTATCCAGCAAAAGATTCGAGATCGCTTAATTTCCATTCCCCAGTGTTGAAACCATTTATGCACCTAGCTGCATTGTGTTGGCTACGTTTGTTTGTTTGTTATTTAGAGGTGTCCATACTGTATATGTAAATATAATGTCTAAGCAAGAACATAGTCATCATACCAAAAACTATAATGCAGGCAAATTGAAAAATAATACCACGCAAACTTGTCGCACCATGTCGCACCATGTTTGGTCGCAGTCTGCCGGGTGTAAACTCTCCTAGCAAACATGAGTGAAAGTTCAACTTTTCGGAAACTTTGTTATTCGAAAATATCTAGAAAGAAAAACACGAGAAGGCAAATGAAAGCTTGTTGCCTACTTACTGACCATGGGGTCATATTAAAAACTGCACAATAAAACAGTCGCGATTATTGATTTAATTGGCCCCATGGCCGGCTTCAATTCTTCATAACCAGCTAAGGTTAAAATTACATAAGTTTCTTCTTCTTTTTCTTCCTTTCTTGTTCCCTTTCAGTAAAGTGTGTTGAAATTTTTGTAAAATTGTGACAAACATCCTTAAAAAACAGAAATAAAAAGCCAATCAAATCATCCTTCTTTTTTGGCAATCATCTAAAGCTCATCCCCCTGATCTTTCGCACACGTTTTAAACTTCAGGAGGTTGAAACTACTATGAGGTGAAATTGCATTTCAAAAGCTCTTCACTTTCGAAAGATAACGGCCAAACATTAAGATTGTCCAGGTTTAACTCTGTTACGAACAATAAAAAATTCATCTAAAAATATCTCGAATTTTGCTGAAACTTCACGAATACTGAGGCAGGTATTGGAGGGAAATTGCTACCGTGAGACGGATTATGGTAAAAAAACTCCTAGTGATGAGAAATACGAATGCAAGTAAATCATAGATAATGGCGTCATATTATCGTTACCTATGACGACTTCGAGACAAATCATTGCTCATAACAAATTTTCATATTTGTCTGATCACTTGTGGTAATCGTGCAAAGGGATTTTCGGTGACGCGCGATGGGTCCCAAATTATCAGCGTGATGCGTGATCGGGACAAAATTAGCCGCGTAAGGCGTGATTGGGCTTAGCTGGGTGGTGCGTGATTTACTATTTTCATAACGCGTGTTGCGTGATTTTCCTTTTAGATGCCCATGATTGGTGAATATCACTTGAAACTAGAAACAGAAACTAAAAACAGATAGTCTGACGTCATTTTCAGGTCATTTTTCTTGTTCCTCAAGCTCGCCTAATCTCCTGTCAAAATCGCACTGTGACCTCTATTCGCTGTATTCTTAGCCTTTTCCAGGCGTTCAGATAATAGAATGCAAGCTAAAAACTGACGACGAAAAAAAAATTAAACGAGGGGAGACTGGAGAGGGAAAAGGGGAGGGAACCCTCGCTCTTGCCCTAGTCTACCCTCGTTTTCCCCACGTATGATTTAACTCGCTCCCCACATCTGAATTCCGCGCTCTACTATCTGAACGCCTGGAATCGCCTTTGTAAAATTAAGGTCATTCAATTAACTGTCAACACTTGATCCTACCAAAAAATGACACTGAAAACTATTTACTGGACCTGATTCATTCAGCGGGTGAGATATTATCTTGTTAACTTAATGCAATTGAAACTCATTCCCGCGCACTTTTACGCTCTTTTTTCGAATTTAAAGATTGTTGTTGTTGCCGTTTGTTTGTTGTTGATTAAGAGGGAATCAATAGTTTTGTATAGAGATTAAGGATGGTAACCACAAGGAGGGTATAAGGGCATGTTTGTGATGGTTATCATTCCGGCAAAGATTAAGATTATAACACTTTTTTTTGTTCCCACGGATTGAGTTAGTCATACTACTCTCCTAGCTGAGGGTCGACTAACTCCTGGGTGAAGTTTGACCAGCGTGTTCACTGGATTCACGGTTGGGGTACCGTGGGCGTGGCCCCCTGGCGGGCAGCAGTTCCTTTATTTACGGGGAAAACTTAAAATGTGAGTGAAGCATTGCTATTTTTCTTGTTCCGTTGAAAATCAATCGAAATGACTGGTCTAGAAGACTTTAAAAGACAATTTGAATTAACGTGAGAAGGTTTCATCGGATCGCACGCAAAACTTTGTGATCTGAATGAATGCTTGGATGGCTTGCCATCCAGCGAGCCGCTGCTAAGTACTATATCCTACCATGTGACTAAGTTCTGCAAAGGACTAATCGTGTTCAATTGTATGACAGTAATGGCGGCATGTAAGATATTTTAGTCCTTTTATAATCAATATATTTAGTTGTTCAATGATTTACTATTGTAGCGCACGGCTCTCCGGGAGAACACTTTTTAGTGAAGAGGACGATACGGATAAATACAATTTTTGTTGTTGTTGTTTGTCTGAAACTGTGTATCCTGTTTAAGACTATGTGCATACATATATATGAACAGCAACTTCCCGGGTCGTCACAAGTGTTGACACACATCAGACATCGTGCCTGCGCGGATGGCCGAGAGGATTTGATGCACTAAATTCCAGTCCTCACTCCTGAATTCGAACTTCGAGAAGTCACTCGTTAGGTGACGGCGTGTTCCCCACCGTCGCCGTCATGGTATCAAATATTTTACCAAATATTTTATACTCTTTGTAACATGACGAATATTATAGATCTCCTGACATCTTTCTCAACATTTATTTTTCATTTCATATTCATTAGAGTAAAAACTGTACAAACACTTCATTAAATATGCTCTCCACTCTTAGATACCTATCCTTTCGCCTGCTTTTTACAAAGCAGCCGTAAAAGGCTGATAACAACCGGTTTTTGAATCGATTTGCAGAACAATAATATTTGACTGTAAATCATGATCAAATTTTGAACGTTCTTGACAGTAACAAAATAATATCTAACATCTTGGCTTCTTCACATAAAGTTTTTTTTCATATATATTTGTAAATATAGAGTCTATGTAAAAACCTGAAATTCTCGTAAGTAGTAACTACTTTCTCATTCTATAAACATCCTGTAACAAAACTGAAGCAAAAATATCCTGGCAGACTTAGCCTGCGAGCGAGCTCCCTGGGGCACTCTGGCGGCGGGGCGGGAAAAGGAAGGAGAGCTTGCAACTACGTCTCTGGAATTTGAATATCTACATCGAAAGAGTCGATGCGATGCGAAATGCTGATTGGTGGAGATAGCATAAGTAATGACGTCAATACCCTTGGCACGTGCTGTCATGTGTTGTTTAATGTTTGTTTACATTCCCGCTCGTTTCCGCTTCGCGCTGATTGGCGGAAATTTGACAGCTCAGTCGACAGGGAGCTAAAGGGGAATTGGAGGCGGAATTCAAATTCCAGATAGGCCGTTGCAAGCTCTCCTTCCTTTTCGCGCCCCGCCGCCAGAGCGGCCCGGAGAGCTCGCTCGCAGGCTAAGCAGACTAGTCTTTATTGGTCAAATTTTTCAGCAGGTCGCAATTTCGTCTGGTACTGTCGTTTAAACGTAACCTTAGTACAACTTTTACAAGTGTATTTTTAGCGTCAGTAAAACGCGGGGTCGGGGCCGGGGCCGGGGCCGGGGCCGGGGCCGGGGCCAGGGTCTATCTTGTTTTTTTTTTTTAAAGAATGCTGTTTTAGGGTTAGGGTGAGGAATCCTAACCCTAACCCCCGCGCCCGCGTTTTACTGAAGTTTGGACCCCAAAACAACAGCTAAATTACAATAATGTAAGAGTTTCATTAAATTGACACCAGATGCTTTGATTTTTGAACATAGAGCGCTTTCCACCTGTATAAAAAAACTGGTGAACAATTTCCACAAATGAAACAGTACCACTCTTTTCCAGTACACCGGTACTGTAAACATGGCTGCCCTCCTTTCAGTCTGGAACGTTTAGTTGTTACTTCTGCGACGAAAGCAAATGGTCCTGTGATTTTTCGTTATTCCGGTAAAAAAAAAGGAAAAAAACGAGGAAAGTGTAATACCTCTGGTGTTTCTTGCTTTCTTTTTAAGACCACTCCACTTAAAATCACCGTTCCTTTCTTAACAAATGGAAAACGCTCTTTATAATTTATTGGAAAACAGAATAAGAATTGACACGCATTATTACTACAGACTTGACCCGGTGCTGTTACTGATGATCTGCGACTTTCACGTTTCCCATAAATCAATTCGTTTTCCCATCAAATTTTGCATAAGGATTGTTTTCAATTTCTCTTGGGGCCAGTAATGGTCCCTTGAGAAAACGAAAAGAAAACCTACACAAAATGTTGTAGGAAAAACAAATTGCACTTTGGGGTACGTGAAAGTCGAAGATACGCAGTAATTTTCAGTAGTCATGCCTCAAACACTGTCATTCCATGGAATTAGATGGCAATTGTACTTAACAAAACATGGTCGGGTTACGCAAGGCAAACGTTTGAAACTTATTCATCTGTTATTCATTAAGCAAAACTTATTCATCTGTCGAGCGCCCAAGCAGTGCAGAATCTACTGCAAAGACGAATGTCACACGCTCCATCGTGTTCGGAAAAATAGTCTTAGGAATACTGCAATAATTTTTTTTCACTCGGTATTTAACACACGTTAGCAGTCTCAAACCCAAGAAAAAAGTCGAAACCCAACTGCTTTTAATTTATCTCCCGCCATCATAAGGCGAACGCAAGCGAACGTCGCGTCGCGTCAGTAACGAAGTCACGAACTGTCCTTTTTGATAGAAACGATGATCAGCGGGGGTTAATTTATCATGACCTAGGGGTCGGCGAAATTGTAGGAGCTGTGGGTAGGTGATCTGGGGAAGCCAGGTAAAGGGGTTATTATTTACTTTTTAGGAAGGCTCATTGGGTTGAATAAATTATGAGTGAAACCAAAGGGTGAGGTGTAAATTTTCGCAACTACCCTTCCTGGCACATAATAAATTAAAACCACCTTAACTGTTTGGCTCAAAGACCACAGAATGAAGAGTCATTATCGCCACATTACGTCAGGGATGAATCAAATCCTATCCCACCGAAAAGACGCCGGAGTTATCCTTGTTCCTTTGTTTCCGTTGTGAATTTTGTACGCATGCGCTTCATACTATACAGCCGCTGTCTCCGCCGCTACCCACCCGGGTCATCATGAGCATTTGCTCTAGTTCACAAATCCTGGCGTACAAAACACGCTGCTCGTCTTCAGCCTTTGCTCGCCACCACTTTTCCACCTCTTGGATCTGTCTCTGGTGTTGAACCTGTTGAAACGAAAATTAGTTCCAAGAGTGTTCAAATAGTAACTTCCCGTATGTCCTCGAATAAGCGCCCAGGAACATATGTAAGATCTCGGCTAAAGGGAGGGGGGCTTATTAGAAGGGGTGGGAGCGCTTATTACCTTTTCCTTTCAGAGAAATATAACTTTACTTTGGCTATATCTTTGATGGAAAAACAAAAACTACAGCTACTCTGAAGATGACTACTCCACAGGTTGTCGAAACATCAGTCAGTGTAAACAACAGTCATATTCAGGACTACGATCAGCCGGACGATCATGCTAAACCTACTTAAGAAATGACTCCTGGGTTCAAAGCTCTCACAAAAACTACAACATTATCCACGTAAACGTTAAGTCAATATTAATGTCTTTCATTGATTAAAACAGTGGTTGGTAATTAATCGTACGGTAGTTCCACTGTATCGGTATTGTATTGTTCCATGTATTGGCTCTCTCCTTCGCAGAGGCTCCCGTGGGTACCCCAGTAAAAACAGTAGTAAGCGCGGGGAGGACGATGGGAAGAGAGAAAAGGTTTCCCCATCCCATCATTCCCTGAGCGCTTTTGTTTTTTTCCTCTCCCCAGTCTCCCTGCGACACAAAGAGGCCTCTGCGGAGGAGAGAGGTGTATCGGTATGCATATTTATAACAAAAGGTAATCATATCATCGTCGAGTTCATCTTCGTCAATGATTAGCAGATCGTCGCATTCCGTAATCTAAACCATTCCTTTCAAAACTCACTTGTTGCCAACACAAAAAAGGCACAGGCTAAACGCAGGCTAAAATTGGCGTCGAGACTCATTCCGTCTACTGCAACTATGTCAACATAAACTCTAATCAAATGCTCTAATCCGAAGGTTTATTTTCACCATCAGACATGCAACGGCTTCTTTCAGTGCACAGTTCCCTATAAAGTGTCTGTATTAGCGGGCTTAACTTTCCATGTGAATCTAGCTGTTAATCGGACAAAAAAGTGTCCGTCGTCAAAATGAGCCATTTTCGAGTTCGGAAAACCCTCACTTTCAAAACGAAACTAAGCGAAACCTTTCTTGTGATAATGAGGCCATTTGCATGAGAATAAAAATTCATTTTAATATCAGCGGCTTCGCACTTACCCTCGCTTTGAAACAGAGGCTGGTGGCAACTCGGAAATGGCGTATTAACAGCTGTCTGTATTAATCCCTCAGGTAAGCATTAAGCGAGTTAAATTTAAAGAAAATGCAAGAGCTTTCCCCTAGCAAATAAAAAACCTGTATGTGGCCGCAAAACGGGGCTAGACACTGAAGGAGCTGTGAAATAACCGAAAAGAAATTGAAAACCGTGATCAATTGAGGTTTCTGGCTAAGTGACCACCTACCCCTCCCCCAAGTCACAATTTGCCCTAACTGAGAAGTAAGCGTTACTGTTGACTTAGGAGAGGGGTAGGTGGTTCCGAAAACCGTACCTGCGCGGCGGCATAAGTGTCCTTCACATTGTAAACGCTCTCTTCCACTACCGGCTGAGCCTCCAATATTGTTTCCGGTACTTTAAGGGCTTCTTCCTCAGACACAGGACGAGCTTCTATGACTGTTTCCATTGAGCCCGTATCACTTGCAAGGGCATGAGAACTAACGCGAGAACTGACGAGGGAATCAGTTCCACTTGTCAATGAACGGCTAACACTAAGCGGGGTGTTTAGAGCTGTGCAGAAAAATAAAACACAATTATTATCTAACATAGAAATACAAACTGGAATGAGGGTGCAAAACATCACTGTCATAATCATCAATGCCCATAAGGTAAGGATCGTCTTCCACCCCTTTTCGTCAACAGGTCTTAATAAACGAAAAACAACAAAGACAAAAAACAAAGACAAAAAACTAGACAAATAGAAAAGCCGGGAATATACCTGACCTGAGATCAGGCGTTCTTTTTCCCTGCTCAAAGAAGCCGGAACGCTTGATCACATGTTCTGATCGGGAAATTACACTATTACATGGGGCGCCGCGGTTAAAACGTAACAAATGTTAGATGATAAAAGGAAAACCCTCTAATATTGTACGCTTTGGCTTATAATTGGTCAGCCCTCAAATCCCTTAAGTACTAGTAATAATTTCTCCCCAAAATACCACTGCTTAAATAAACATGAAGGTCATGAGAATAGGGAAAATGAGCAGAGAGAGAGAGAAAGAGAGGGGATAGCCTGTTCACAGACCCTCTATTTTCTCTTCAAAGTCCGTCGAGCGCGTGTGATCAAAAATATAACGAAAAGAAAAATGAAACAACGTCAGTAAACAGGCTAGAGAGGGAAAGTCTGTCTCCCCTTTTCGCTACTCTCCCCTCCTTTCCCCCCTACCATTCCCCTCCCCCGGGAACGCCTGATACTCGGGCTATTCTGGAGCGGAATGTGCAAACAAACGAATAATAAACTTTGTGGATGCGTTTATCTCCGCAACTCATCACTCAACGATATTCCGATCCCAACAATCTAGCCCTTCTTTGCATAAGAAATCAGATCAGAGAGGCATCTAGTATCTGAACCAATTACAAATAACTACTACATACGAGAAACTCCCATTCTCTGATCCACGACGCTTGCGCAGTCCGCACAAGGCGCCCTTCCCAGGTGGGGAGAACTTCTACTGCGCACTGCACGCCGGGAAGCAGTACAGTTCCGTCCCAACTCAGGGTTGCACCGGTCTTTAAAGTCCATGAACGGTATATTATATCCTGTGGATATTTGTCCAAGTCTAAGCTCGAGCTTGCTCAAGCCACCTTTAATAAGTCCGCGGATTTCTTCTTTCACGTCTCCAGTGGAGTCTTTCACGCTTTTGTTTACTACGCGGCACTCATCCGTGACGCGATCAACCACGCGATCGTACTCTTTTTCCCTAATTTCTTTGTCCCGTGACTGTCTCTCGTCCGACCGCTGATGTTCCAGCTTCTTTTCCAGTCTCTGAAGTCTGTGTTCCAGTCTGCGGCGAGCAGATTCGATTTCTGCCGTGCAACGTTCCTGCCAAGCCTCCAGTCGGCTGAGAGACGCTTTGCAGGTGCTGCAGTGATCGGGGTTACAAGGAATGGATCGCAATTCCTCCTTAAAGCAAAAAAACATTTTTCAATTAATACCACAGGTGAAAAAAATACCTCTTGATTTTGGGTGAAATTTCAGCGTTAATTTATAATCTCACATGTCAGTGAAATGACAAAATTGCTATGGCAACGTTCTGTTTGTCTTAGTGCCAAGATGAGGTCAAGGTTTTAAAATTGCCAGGGCTTCAAAAGACGCTTTAGAAAACCTGAACGCCCGAAAAAGCATATCAAAAATGATTCTAACAGGTATTTTTGTTGAAAATTTCAGAAAAATGTGAGCTTAGGTCAAAATTTATGCCCTTAACTTTTCACCCGCAGTATGTGGAGTCCTCAATACGATAGACAAGGTCAAAAAACCTACGATTGTGAGCGTAATTCGTCATCCATGATATTAATAGGTAATCAAATGGTTTACTCGTGAAATTAGGGAATAATTTCACTTGCGTTTTGTCCAAATTCTAATTATTTCCACACTTACTTATCTTACCTTACTTATCACGAATGTATTTTTATTTGAGTTTAAAGGGTGTTGGAGAAGGAGGAGGAGGAGCAGCAACAGTAGCAGCAGCAGTAGTAGTAGTGATAGTGGTAGTGGTAGTGGTAGTGGTAGTGGTAGTGGTAGTGGTAGTGGCAGTAATAGTAGTAGTAGTAGTGGTGGTGGTGGTGGTGGTGGTGGTAGTAGTAGTAGTAGTAGTTGTAGTAGTAGTAGTAGTTGTAGTGGTAGTAGTAGCAGTAGCAGTAGCAGCAGCACCAGCAGTAGCAGTAGCAGTACTAGTACTACTACTAGTAGTAGTACAACTTTGGTTTTCTCTCTTGACACGAACTAGGATAAACTGCTACCATTCGCCACTTTAGAAACGTGAAGGGAACTGGGGCCGAAATGCGCCCCCCCATGGTTTCTGGGATCGTTACTGGGAGAGCGCCGGTCAGCTATTGGCCAACTTTCCTCCAGTAACAGTCCCAGAAGTCTTTGCGAAAGTTCACTCAGCTCAGTTTCCTTGTCTGTCTAAAGTGACAGATTGGCGAAAAGCACGTCATTGCTTGAACGAATAAGTCAGTCAATTCAGAAGAGTGACATAAGAACTAAAATTTGCCACGCTGCCTTCCAAGCTCTCACATGCGACATTAGATGGAAATGACCATTAACCAGTGTATTTAAGGCCCAAAGCATTCTCCTCCCCAGACCAGCGCCAAGGATCGACAGCTCTGGCTAAGGCCAAAGCAGGAAGTCCGCAAAACACGGACTTTTGGCTTTCTGCGCAGCCTCAGAAATTTGAAATAGTAGCCGTTACCAACGGTTACAAAAATGAGAACTACTGCGCTTGTACGCATGCGTTATCCTGGTCCCAGCAGGAGCTCTTGATCCTTGGCGCTGACACAAGGATAAAGGCTTCAGGAAGGAGAATCCATCCAGAGCTTCCCGTGTCTGAGCAGCTGTTATTTAGCAGTAGCTCAACAGGTGTGGCGTGACGTGACGTCAGTGGCGACCAAAATATATCTACCGTGCGATGGTACAACGGAAAGGATGCTTGTAGCTGCTTACCTCCTCATTTCTTCTTTTGTGATGTTTATTATGGTGTCTTTCATGGTGTTTACTATGATGCTTATCCTTCTTGGGTTTATCTTTCTCTTTTTCTCGATCATAATGGTGTTTTTTTCTCTTGAACTCCTTATCTTCATCAGTTGATCGTTGATCACTATACTTTATATCCGGGTTATCGTATTCTTTAACTCGTTTATGTTCAGACCTAGAACGGACGTGTTCTTTGTCTCTATGTCTTGATTCTTTAGAATGAGACTTCTCCCGAGATTTTCTTAATTTCTCCTGGCAGACACTGCAATCGGCTTCACTTCCTTCCTTTTCATCGCGTCGAGAATGCTTCTTCTCCTTGTCCCTTCCTTTTCCCTTTTCCTTTTCACTCTTTCTCTCCTTCTTTTCCCATTTATCCTTGTCATCTCTTTCTTTCTTACTTGACTTATCTCTCTTCTCTGTTCTATGCTCGCTCCTTTCCCTTTCCTTTCTCTCCCTTCTATTCTCTTTCGTTTCTTCGATTTCCCCCTTTTCGTTGAACGCCTCCTCTGGTATTCTATGGTGCACCCCATTCGCCATGAGTTGTTTGGAGTTAGGAAATTTCTCCTTATGCTTTTTTCCAACTACGGTTCCGTTTTTCATCTCACTAGTCAAGTCTGGGTCACTTGAACTTCTAAAAATTGCGAATAAGCCTTTGTCTTTCTTGTTTTTCTTGGGCGCAAGAGCAATTTCCAAATCATCTCTGCTTTGAGCACTGAGGACAAACAACAATTTATTACCTTCAGCACGGACTTTTACTTCAATATATTAATATGATTGCCACAAATAAGAGGTTTTTGAAATTCCCTGACTTTTCCCTGACGAATGTGAAATTTCCCTGACCAAATGAATTTAACAATTTCACAAATTTGTCCTGATAATGGACGGAACCGTTTCCTAATAGCCATGCATCCTCTCCACCCATTTAGTTATGCTTTCAGCAAGTCAATTGTCATAAAAAAGTTTTAAAAGTTTTCAGGGAGCTGGTTAGCTTCTGCCTCGCTATAATGACAGCGAGACCACTTCTTAGTCTACATACTAACTTAACATTGATTTATTCCGTGGACAGCGCTTTACACCTTTGAACAACCGAAGACTCGACTCACTCACTCACGTCAAGTTGTACAAAACCATAACTGCTACATCACGAGCGTGCATACGCTGCAAATCACGTACTATATTCATACAACATCCGCTAATCATTACCTTCGATTTTCCTAGACGGGAAGATCGAAGGTTCACTGCTCGCAGGGTTCTCAGTAAGGCCCTGTCAACACGTATCCTGGGATTTTTTTTGAAAACGGATATTTTTTCTGTTTTCAAAAAATACGCATTTAGACGTAGGGTATTTGAATCGTTTTCGCCCGTCCACATGAAAACGCTAAAACGATGAAAAAACGAGAACATCCCTTACAGAGCATGCGTAATTCTAGTAGCATATAACGTATGAAATCAACGGTTTCGAAAACCTCCGTTTTCGTCCGTCCACACGTACACGACAAGCCGGCGTCATTCCCATCGTTAATCTCTTAACAATCAAGCTTATTAAAATATTCACTATGAAACTATAGCAATGTAAACGAGACTTCACATCAAGTGATGAGATAAAGAAAATGTTTAATCCTTTATCGACCATTACTCATAAACTGAATGCAATTACATTTGTTTATTTAAAGCGTTTTATCAAGACCACGTTCAATATCCTCAATGACGCAGAAACACAGCCTCCGTTTTATAAATAGCAACATTTTCTCTTAGAGAAAGAGATTCCAAGATTACGCTAGAAGCGTGAAACAATCAGACAGACATATAGTCCAAATTTTTGAGTAAGAAGTTTTCAGCGATACAGATCATCAAATAACGCAAATTTTGCCGTCAAGATCACTGAACTAACTTACGAGCAACGTGTTCAAGAGTGCGTTAAGAGCACTCATGGTTTAAAAAGCATTTCAAGTGACTCTTAAAGTATTCGTAGTTATCTAAATGACAAAAAAAACAACGTAACTTTCTAAAAATATAAAGCAATAATTGCAAAAAAACAAACAAGCAAATACAGAAAACCTGGTTTAGTTTGGTTGAAATCCCGCTCTTTTTCCTTGGACCGTACGCGTGCAACAAATTAATCAAAATTCTTCTCAAATACAATCAAGAGAGGATACAATGTAACTCATAAAATTCTGATGTAAATCGAGTTCTCGCAAAGTTGCTCGTTCATCGAATGGTTTAAATGAAACGAAACATATACAAGCCGTTCACTAAAAACTAACAAGAAAATGAAAAAAAAATTTAACGAATTCTATTTTTGTTTTTCCATCAGCATAGTTGTCATAGAGCACTGTGTTAGACATCTGAAGCGATATCGCATAAATATGCCACTCTTCTCAGTTAGAGTTCAAATAACGGCAAACGTACGGTTTGGATTTAGAAAATGCCCATAATCAGCAAATAAGACTTACAGACAAGTATTTTAACTTTACATTTCATTCTTGGCACCTCGTTACATGCGAGTACATAGACAATAATATACTTATAATCGAATCCTACTTGAACAAAATCTCACCAAAATGATACGTACGAACACTTTTATAATTTACACGCTTCTAAAATATACACACCTTTGCAACAGAGAAACTTATTAATAACGAAACGGTAAAATACAGTTGTAAAGAAAGAAGTATTATTTTTAATCCTTCGCCGGATGTGTTCGCCTAAATGAAACGAAGTGGCATGTCTGTTTCTTCACTATCGGTTTCAAAGCCGTTTAAGCGAACGAAGTTGCGAAATATCGGTTTAGAACACAGATGACAAGTAAACCGTAACAAAAAGAGGCAATAATTCAGAAAAAAAAAGAGAGACGGACAGAGCGAAGGTTGATAGTAAACATATAAACATCTCACTCTTTTCGCCGAAGGGGGCAAATTAGGCCTTACAGACCCCCTCTAAAACATGGCCACACAGACAGTCCCGCATACGAAAACTTTCAGTGGTAAAACTGCACGAAAGAACTTGAATTCAGGGATAAAACCTCGATTATAAGCGATAAAAATTCAGACACCAGAGGTCAAAAGGGGGTAAGTAAACCACATCGTTGTTCGATGACTAACTGTTTATACTGACCTGCTCATAGTGCAGACCCATGGATTCACAGCCTTTCTCGACATTCCGAAGACGTCGATTATCAAACTCCGTACTAAGAAAAGCTTGACTGTCGTTAAGATAACGTTGCATAGGCCTTCGGCTATAAGATAAACTACTTCTCGCGCGCCAGTGACGCACTGACGCGAGGGTTATCTGTGTAGTACATCTTCTCGTGCGAATGCAAATTTGGCCTGTTCATAGTCCATAGAACAATCACAATACATTACACAAAGGACCGCCCATAAAGCTCTTAGCAAATATACTCACAAAAGCTTTCATGCTAGACTCTAACTGCAAGCTGAATAACATGAAAATGGGGCTCTCCAGCTGACTAAAACAGCCCTAAATACTTTGGCTCGGACATGCTCATTTACTGTTCGTTCTTTCTAATGGCTGGCCAAAATTTTAATTCAAGTAACATCTCATTTTTTGGTGAAAAAAAGGAAAAGCAAACAGTGGGATAGGAAAGTGCTATTCCAACACTCTGAAGGATTTCATCCACCATGCAACTCGAAAGTTATTGTAGTGGACGAGTGTTATACGACTCAAGTTTTCCAAGGTGCCAGCTTGTTTAACGGGAAAACTAAATTCACATGGTTACATGTCTGAACGTGTTGTCAGCGTCAGTGGTTTTGGTAAAAAAAAGCTAGAAAAAAGCATTTTTGAGGGATTTAATTCAATTCAGTTCTATTTAATTTGATGAAAACCACAAGATTGTCTATGGTTCATAGATCCTACAATTATGTAACCTTGAGGGACTTTTGTTTGTGGCAGTCGAGAAAAGGAAAAAACAAAGCTCTTGAATTGACAGGAACTCCAATAAGAATTTGCATTTAGGAAAACAAAAGGTGTGCTTTCACAAATGATTTCACAGCATATTAAAATCGGAAGCGATTAAAAATCATTCATGAACGTGTTGAAAAGTTAATCTCTTGTAAATTGTAGAGCAAATACTTCACGACTTCAAAAATGACTTTGTCGCGTAGTATCACGCTATGAGGCGTTACTGCTAATTAATCAGTTGCTCAAGTTGTTTTATATTTTCAGGGGAGGATCTAGGGGGAGGGTGCAGGGGGTGCGCACCCCCCCCCCCCCCCCCCCCGCGCGCCCGGGTTTTTTTTACAACTGTTTTTTTTCCAAAACAAAGGGGTTTATTGTGTTGGTTTTAGGGGAAAAGAAAGTGGAACCCACCCCCCAAAAAAATCATACATACCGCCCTCCTTTTTTTGCGATTGATCTGTTTTTTTTTGGTTTTATGTTTCCCCCCCCCCCCCCCCCCCCTGAGATGACCTGCGGTTTTCTAATACAACTGGTATTCTGCAAAAACTATGTGGTTTATTGGTGTTGATGCAGAGCAAGATACGAGTGCACCCCCTCCTAAAAAAAATCCTGGATCCGCCCCTGATTTTGCTGCAATCGAGTTATTCTACTTTGGTTTACTAGCGTTCTTTTTCAAAAGCCGACCCCTATGGCATACTGCGGTATCTTCAAAGATCTTAATCACACTTACAAACAAGTTTTTTAAGCGATATCGATCAAGCAATAACTATTCATTTCCTGTCCCTTCATACACCTATTGTTTTTGGCATCACCGACACGGTGGAGGTATGTTTTTAACCGAGTGGAATACAAACTGAAAATACCAGTTAACTTCGTTCAGTACAACACATGAAAGGTAGGGACTGGATTATATGAGTCAATGAAAAAATCACGAGCACGTGGAGGTATAGAACGAATAATCTAAACTGAGATGAACAACTGCCGGATGAATTTTTGTCTTGTGTTTACATGTTGCCATTTAAATGATTTGGAGAAAAAACTTAGTGAAGTACAATGGAAAGTCGCCTCAAGCTTTGCAAAACAGTGCAACGAAAGTTATCCACAACGTTTGACAACATTAAATGAAATATTTACGTGAAGGCATTCTATTCCAAGTTTCCCCGCTGTGCTTCTTGGTCATTCGGAAGCAGGAAGCAGACCACGCACGTCTGAAGTTGCTTCACCACCTCCCTTAAACCTCGATATAACGAAGGACCACGGGACTGGCAAAATTGGTTCGCTATACCGAGGTTTCGTTATATCGAGGTTCTCTTTCATATATTTTACTATTACTGGGGTATGAAAAAATCGTTCGTTTTATCGACAACTTCGTTATATAGAGGTTCGTTATATCGAGGTTCCACTGTAGTCGTCCTCGTTGTTCCGATTATATCACGACCTACAGCACGGTAATCTGAAGACAGGGAAAATTAATGCGATTACGAGACAATCGTTCGTGCTGGTTTTTTGGTAATAAAATTTAAGGAATATTTCAGGAGTATCCATTCGAAGCACCAACAACTGAGTTTCCAAGGACAGTTCAAACTACAGCAAGTTTGTCCACATTTTATTTACTGTACTGTTTCAGAAAATCTGTCTTCCATTTTCAAATTTGGGCTCAATCACTGACATAGTTTGATCAGATATAATCGGCCTTTTTCACAAAGTCAGAGCATGGCGCTATGTATTTTTAAAAGCCCCTACCTCAGCAACAATCCAGAACCTAATTACGGTGTAATTATTTCCTCGCCTAGTCTTCCCAGGCCTTCCCAGTCAATGCATTTCGTTGACGTAGCCAAGACTAACGACAGCTCGGACCACGTGACCCGAAACGCATACGCCGGGCAGAATAATGAGGCATAAGGACTAGGGAAATTTTTTCCTATTTCTTTAACAGGCTACCACATCGTATGGTCTCCATTCTTTAATTCATTCAGCCGCAACATATTGGAAATTCCTCCCCAATAATTTAAGGGCAATTGTAGATTTTAAAGGAATTTAGACAAAAGCTATTATCACACATTTTTTAAACTCGATGATAATGCGTCATTTTTAACAGCCTTTAATGGTCTTACTTTATTCCATGTTCCTTAATTGATTGTGCTCGGAGATAATAAACTCAGCAGCATCCCTAAAATTCGAGTTGAAATAAAGCTTTTATGTGCTATGTATGCCACTTTTGCTAAGCTTAATGGTTGTGGCGGACTGAAGTTACCGTCTGGTGATTACCGTAAACTAGTGCTTGTAAGCCCTGGGTTTATACATCTTCGTAAGGGGCTTAGAAGGGCTCAGAAGAAGAGAAGCTTATAACCGGAATATTAGGAAAAAAATGCTTCGAAACAAGCTATAGCATGCCGTGCTGATCAAAAAACGTTTTGCATTTACTGGCTTCAAACAAAGCTACAAAAACGTCATAATAAATCGAATTCAAGAAAAGACAAGTTTGAGGGGGTGGGGGGCTAATAATCGAATGCACTTTTTTGTTTACAGGCAGATGGGCTTATAACTGGGGGATATAAAGCTACGTACAAACAACTCTGAACATTGTTGACCCAACAATGTTGGAGGTTGTTGCGTCCGTTTGCATGTAGCTTTGACCGGTTTCAAACTTTGCGCAACAACTCCTCCTAACAACACGCAACAACTTGCAACAGGGTGTGCAAACGGAGACGCAACATGTAACATCTAACAATGTTGGGAGTTGTTGACCAACAATAGGGAGTTTAAGCAACGACGACGGCGACGTCAACGAGGACGGCAAAAAAAGCAGTTGGTTTAGATTGGCAAAACAACAAATTTGCACGTGCATCACGCTTTTTTGTACATTTCTTTGCAGTCACAGCACCACAACGATGTGAAAATGCCTAATTTCACGTTTTGTGGCGAACGTGAACACAAGACATCGACTTTGTTTTTCTTTTCCTTATTTAAACTTTGATACAGTCCTTTAGAATTCAACCCCAGAAAAATTGCCAACATTTGACGGATTAAACGAGATGGAATGAGCGCCATTAAGTTTGAAGCAGCCCGATATCACATTTTAACTGACGTTTTCGTAGCCGTCGCTGTTGTTGTGTCTGAAGCTCCCTAATGTTGCGTCCGTTTGTACGGGGCTTAGAGTGGTTTTCGTTTGAGTGTCGTAAAACCAAAACCAAAGTAATTACTCTGGCCAATCACATAGGACACAGACAATACATTGAACCAATCAAAACTCGAAGTAATTACATGAGGCTGACGCAAAGCGCGGGAAAATGCATGCGAGCGCTCGTCACAATTGGCTTTGGTTTTACTTCTGATTGGATGAAAAGGTGGCGCGAATCTTTTAAGCCAATCGCATCGTGTAGAAAGTGCAAAACCAATTACTTTTCGACACTCAAATGAAAACCGCTCTAAGCGGCAGCTTTTGGTAGTCTACAAAAACTACTCCGCTTTTATTGAACTGCAGAAAGATTTCCGGCAATATAAAGGAGTTCCTTGAATGTTTTTTTTCCATTGGTCATCAAAAGATACAAAGGGAAATCGAATGTTCAGAACAGTCAGGTTTTCGGATCTGCAAAAGATTTTATCCTTTAATTTACCTTACTGTTTTCTTTTTGCTTTCTCTGACATGACGTGCATGAGAACTCTTCGATTCCACATAAAAGCCAGGATCAGAACGGCGCATTTCGTCCTGAAAGGAAGAAAGTAAAAGTAGGAGATATGCTGCAGTTACGAATTGCTAAACATTGCTCTCATTGTTTTAATACTAGACAACTCCTGACTACCTGTGACTTCAAAGTGCTTCTTGAATGGCTCTTGTCGCTCTTGTAAGATCGTCTCAGTGTTGACTGTTTTTTCTTCAGAAAAGCGCTGTATTCTCTCTCAATCGAACACATCTCATTTGGCTTGATGGTCAGCACCTTGTATTGTAATTTCCCTTCACCTTTCTTTTTTCCCCGACCTTCAAGCTGGCTGTCGGCTTCTCGTTTCGGCGGCAATTTCTAAAACAGGACATGGTAACGTTAATGTAAGTTTGTACAGCTCCACGTTGGCCAAAGCGAAAAATACCATAATATTCTTCAAGTTCCCGTTTGGGTAGTGCTTCACATAAATATGACTTCTGCAATATCTTTTGCACGATTTGCATGTGGAATACCAGCTTCCTGTAAATTTGCATACACTGTACGTGCAGTTCATGCAAAGAATAAAAGATAACACAAAAGTCAGGTTTTCATGAAGCACTACACAGACAGCAGTTTAAAGAATATTATGGTTTTTCCGCTTAGCCAATGAAATTTAATTACGCAAGAGCGACAGCGAGGTAACCCATCCGTGGTGGGGATCGAGGTCTATTAACCTTCTGTTTACTCACCTTGGGGTCATGGTCCAGGGACATTGGTTTGGGTATCCATAACTGAGTTGCAGTTGTAGCTTGTGTGGAGTCTAAAGACTCGACATACATACTGGACACCTCAACACTACGAGGCCTCTCCTTTCTTCCCTTTCTGAAAAACTACGAAACGAAACCTATATGAATATGATTTAGTATCCACGTAACGAGCTATTTATACCAATGGCCGTGTTTACACTAGAGACAGATTATATGTCTGAGACGGATAATCCATCTTCAAAATCCGTCAAAATTGACGAAAAAACGGATGGATAAAGTCAGGTGGATTGTCCCTCCAAAATTGAGACCATTCCATTTCCAAACTAAGACGCGAATTATCCAACGGATAACCATTCTCAGTTGGACCGTCTCTGGTGCAAATGCGGCCAATACCAGCTCAGATGGTTCTAAAGCGCTACAAATTTACATATTGTAATGGCACCATCAAGAACCCTGGGGATGCTGCGTTTTTAAGGCAGGCTCGGAAAAAAAGTACCCTCTAAGAAAAGCAGCCATTTAAAAAAATAATAAAAAGTTAGACTTCACCACAAAGCAAAATGCTGACGACTGCGAGTAATCTTGAACTGAATCCAACATCTTGACAATCCTAAGTGCGCTTCTACGTTGGCGTTGGGAGCCCTTTGTGTGTCAGTCTAATCCGCGTTATGTATGGTTCTCTGCCCATGCGCGTTGAAGTGAAAAGCCCGCTATAGCAATGGACACTGGTAACATGTACTGTGTTACCAACTCGAAATATTTGCAAGGTTTACTAGGTTATGTAGCTTACCTTCCATGATTCACCACTGGCTGGAGTTAACAACTTTGCAGTCTTTTTAAAACCATTCTGTATGGCTATATCCGTAGCAGTGTCGCCAATCTAGTAGAAATAAAAAAATATATACTTGGCTAGTCAGGGCTGTTAAAACGTTTTTAAGTAGCAGGCTGATAATGAATAGTAGGCGGCTCTGGAACTCACACAAGTTCTTGAGGGCCGAGGCATCTAGGGACATTTTGAAAATTAGAGTCTCGGTAATGGCGTTTCCAAGGGTTTTCAAGAGGTGTTTCCGACCGCGGATGCTATGTTGTTTCGTTAGAAGTCTTAGATTACACACAAGCCTGGGAACAATGCCGTCAACATGTCCCTGGCATTAAGATGCGTAAAAAGACTGCAAATATGCTTATGACATGGAAATTTCACGACACGTTTATTCGCGCGCGAAGTTCGCAATTTAAAAAAATCGCGAAATTATAATAGTGACAAGGACAATAAGTGTTGCGAACATGACATGGCGCTAAAATTAAGTGACTCAGAAAATGTCAATAATCAAGACAGGATGAGTTTATTACTAAGATCAAGATATTCACACAAATAACGAAGTAAAAGTCAGGGGCGTAGCGTGAGATTTTAAAGGTGTACGCAAACGAGGAAAAAACAGTTGTAGCGCAAAATCGGCCCATCCTAGGGGGTCTGGGGTATGCTCCCCAGAAAAGTTTTCCATTTAGGGTCTCGGAAATGCCATTTCCAGCGCTTTCCGCAGGGCATTTTCACTAATTAATACGCAGGAAAATGCAGTAGTTAGTTTATTTTACCCATCTCTGGTGTTGTAGGTAAGGTACTGTTTTTACGGAAAAGGCCAGTGATCCAGAATATGGAATAATAAAAGAAATATCAACAACACAAAGACACCAACATAGTGCAAAAAATGTTTCAGTTATCCCGATTTAATTATTAAAAAAGGCTTTTTCAGGAAATAAAAAATAAATAATTTTTTCTATATTTCAGCTGTACATGTACGCCCCGGCTATGTGCGTAAATGGACGCTACGCTCCTGAAACTGTCGCGGAATTTCATGTAATAAGGTTTACAATAAACTTACATTATTTCTCGTTGTAACAGAACATCCAGCCTTCATCAACATTTCAACGATTTTCTCGTGTCTCATCCCCGCGGCTATGTGAAGTGCAGTGTTCCCATCCTAAGTAAATTTTTTTAAAACATAAATTCACAGCGAAAACAACTCTCAGCCACTTAGAATATTTTGTAAAAGAAACAGATTCAAGGTTGTGTCTTGGTTGCATTCATGGAAACTGTGGTATCAGGTAAATTTGGATTTACCAACAAGCGTCACTAGAATTTCTGTAAAAATTCTCTCCGTGAAAAGTCGCCGCAAAAATATTGAGTTAGGAAACAATGCGAGCCGGTGAGCCATGCGAAATTTTTTTTAAAAAAATCGAAACACGAAAAACATTAACTGAAAGCTAATAAGCGTTTAGCCCTTAACAGCGCTTAACCGTAATCCATAAAATGAATGCTCAATTGTAGTCCATGAAAATCGACCAATACTGCGTAAGTCTACAAATATTCCAGAAGCAAAACCTCACGTACCCACGTACCCATAGTATAGAGAACTAGACAGAAAACCTTTTTCTATGTATTTGCAATTTTATAAAACTTTATTCTTTTCCCATCGCTCGCACGAATTGCATGGCTCGCTGGCTTGCTGGTTGTGTGGCCCCGAAATGTTGAATTTAACTTGGCTATTGGGTAGTTAGGAAGATGTAATTAAGTAAAACTTACGTTGTTTTGTTCAGAGAGGTTGATCTCCGGGGTTTCCAGTAGAATTTTACAAGCGTCTTTGTGGCCATATCGAGCTGCAATATGCAGTGAAGTGTCGCCATACTATTCAGCGAGATAAAAATGAAACAGTTTAAGATGATGTTAAACGACATTGTTGCAACACAGCGATGCAATGTTGCAACCATTCGAAACAAAGTCGTAACAATATTGTACCGCGCGATTAAAAAATCGTCGTTGCGAATCGTTCCTAGTAACATCACCTTTAAACAAAAACAGCATGGCTTTCATGGTTAATTTATTACACCTGCGTAAAACCAACAAATAAACCTGTAAAACAGACATACATTATTCTTTGCTACTGGATTAGCTCCGCCTTTTAACAGCAGTTCCAAAGATTTGCAGTGACAGTTTTGTGCAGCAAGATGGAGACTCGTGTAACCTGTCTGGAAGGAAAATTAGATTCAGTTGATATCAGTTAAACGTTTACAAGCCTAAGACTGAGGAAAAACACACCCAATAAAATTTCGTAGTGGAAACCTTTGCCTTATAACTGTTCATAACTCTACACTTTTGCAGACGAAAATTTCTTGAAATGATAGCTATTTTACAAGCATAAGAACAGAAAGATGAATACATTGGCTGAATATGAAAAGGGATCGTTTTTAATCCTTAAAAAGCCCTAAGAGTGATTAGCATCAAATTTCTCCTCATAATATCAATGATTCGTAAAGCAGGGTGGTCATGAGGATTACGGACATGACCACACAAGATGTGATTGATATTTTATCAACTTCTCCCCACTACTTCTGTAGAAAATGAATAGGGGCAACAAATGAGAATTCAAATTTTGATCTTAGGGTTTAAAGGGTTAAAACACATATAATAATGGTAGTCTGTATGTTTATTTGTTTGCTTCTTAACCAAAGAGGCATGGAAAAGGTGTAAAAATTATTCAGAGATAGTATAGAAAAACAGTTCAACTAAATAACCATTTCGCTAAATATCATAACATTTGTGTAATTTCTGTGATGTCCCCTCGTCAACAAAAAGTGGATTAAACTAATGAATGCTTCAATTTGCAAGTGCAGCTTGAGTTTTCTACAATCCACAAAATTCAACAACATTCGCTACCCTCATGTTTGATATGTATAAAGTGTCCTTAGCCTGATCCTGATCCTGAAGTTTGGGACCACTGGGGATGGGAGGGGAGGGGAGGGGGTTAATGGGCAAGCTGCCTTGCCACCCCACCCCCCCCACCCCCGGCCTTATCTCAAGGTCTGGATCCGGCACTGTCTGAACACCATAAACTGATGAGTCCCTTAAAATTAACAAGGTCAATAAATTCGGCGTCTGAAAGTGTCTCTCTCGGACTTACTACTCAATTACTTTGTACAGCCTTTTTTATTTACTAAATACTGTGTTAACTGAAGCTATCTTACCCGATTATGAAGGTTCACATTACATTTTGCATTCACCAAAAGTGTGACACATTTACTGTAACCATTCCAAGCAGCCTCATGAAGAGGTGTGTTTCCATTCTGAGGAAGAAAAAAAAGAAAATACATAGATTTACTGAGTCTAGCCTGCTGTCCACAATGGCCACTTTAGTTTCCCTCGCAGCCTTCCTCACTGTAATAAATTGTCACACAAAGGAGGAGTATGCATGAGGACACTAAATCAGTGTGTTCATTAGGCACCAGAGATCGCAGAATTCTTTCTTTACTACACAGAATTCTCTGACTAACGATTGGTAGCTTTTATGACTATTTTTTATTCAGACATGGAGCCTCTTTCAAAATATTCTCCTGTAACGTTACACCTATCTCCTGCCACTAGGATTTTTAATGAAAACCCTGCTAAATACAGCTACAAGAGAGATGACTGCTCTGAAAGGGGATAGGACAGAGCTATGTAGAATGTAGTAAAGTAAAGAAAGTGTGACGCTTAGCACTAGTTTACCTTAACATGACATGTTAGTTCTAAATCGATAAACAGTTGATTTGTTACAATCTGGAAAGATGACAATTTATTGTTGTGTTCTTAAAAGCAAGCATGCTAGATCTGCTCCTGCTTTCAGTCACCACTTTAGAAACGAGAACAAAAAAGGGCCGATTTAACTTTCCCAAAGATTTTTTGGACTGTTACTGGGGACACTGCAAACAAATTGGCCAATAGCTGGCTGGCCTGTCCCCAGTAACGATTGATCCCATAAGTCTTTGTGAAGACTTATGCCTTTGTTTTACTCAACCCAGTTTCTTTCTCGTTTTTAAAGTGGTGAATAGAGAGGTCATCTTGGCTGCACATTGTCCGTTCACCAGCCACTTTTTTTAGCCATGTTGAGTAGACATTAAATTAGAATAAGAAAACTTCTACAAAGAAACTAATTCTCTGTTCATGCAGTGTTGCAACACACTATAAAAATAAACTGTATCCAACATCTCCACCCCTGCTGGGGTCTTTAGCCACAGTCTACGTGATTACCTCATCTTTCTTGTCCATGGAACAACCACCGTCCAACAAAGCACGAGCCACATCTGCATGGCCATCAATTGCAGCCCGATGAAGAGCTGTCACTCCATTCTGCATATAAAATTAATTACAGAAAACTATTAACTATATTTTTGATTAACTGTTGCTATACTTTCGTACAATATCAATTCATAAATTATTAAAATAAATTAACAAATTACAGAATTACTAAAATGCTGTTTAAAAAGTTGAAAACTGTTATAACTCCTGCATCCATTTTCTGGCAAATTAACCAATGTTTTTATTAACTGTCACCACAATATTCAAAACTGCCTAATAAATCTCTTTACTCAAATTTTAAATGGTACTCATTTCCAGCAAAATGGTATAAATGAGAGAATGCTCCATCGTCCACGGACTAAAGAGCAACACCCTAATCACATATAAGGGTCCTCGATATAGTTGACTGTATCGCACTTATAAGTACGATCAGTCTAATTTATACCTCATCTGTTAGGTCCAAGTCAGCTCCTGCTTCTATTAGAGCCTTCACAGAAGCCAGCAGACCTTTGTAAGCTGCATAGTGAAGAGCTGTCTTGCCATTCTGCAGGATGAAAAGGAAATAAACAATATCTTTTCTCTGATTCAATATACCAACGAACTGATAGCTTAGAACAAAATTAGCCATAAATAAGGGTTGAGCAGTGCACCTGGTGCTAGTTGCATAAAATGAGATGTTAGATGTAACTAATAACGTCAAGGTTGCTCAAAGTTTTCTTGAGTCTGAAACAGTTGTAAATGTCTAACAAGCCCCCTCTTTAGCAAACATTAAGTAAACTTTATCTTGCAAAATGTTGTTTGCCTGTTGGACACCTAGTTGAAATTATAAAAAGATCATACATGCTAGCACTATGGGTCATTCCACTAGCCCCACAGGCTATCATACAGCGCTAACTTGTCACACCTGAACATCTAGTGTTCAAAATAATGAGTATATGACTGGACTTAACTCCTCAGATCTATGCCTAGCCGGGGCAGACCCAAATACCCCCAGCAACTGGCATGTCATTATGAAAGACCGGACTTCATTTATTCAAGGCAACTAGAACGACTTCATGACCAGACTTTTGGTGATTTCATTTGTCTGAGGACAAAATAAAACTATATAAACCTCCTTTGTTGCTGAGTGAGCACACACAGGACATGTATATGCAATTTGGTAGGCAAGGGGTTAACATCAGACAATCATTTATGTCAGACTTTAAGATTTATGCAACTGGCCGGCGCTGCACAGAAACCTGTCCAACGAAGTGCACTCTATAAGTTAATGGGGTTGGGGGCAGATTAACCCACCTTATCTATCCATGAGTTCACATTGACACCAAGAGCAACCAGCCGAGAAATTTCAGAGACTTTGTTGAGCTTGATGGCAAGGAGCAGCTGATCCCCTGCATTACTCTTTTTGAACATTTGCTCCAATGTTCTTCAGTGTCATGCAATCTCAGTCATTTGCTTCATGTTAAAGAATTCAGTCAGAGCTTGGTGTCTTCTCTAAAACAAATCAAATAATACCAAAATCAAATAATAATTCATGTATTATTTAGTAATAATTTATCAACAAAGAATGAGGTGTTATAAAATGCAACATCTGTCATTATATAAGGTGTGAACCTTTTTAATTAGTGTTTTAATTAAGGGAAAAGGGCACGACAAATTTGCTTTACCTGAGAAAACCTTGAATGCTTTACCTCTAAGAAAATAATTCATAAAACCCAGGTCAGCCACACCACTCTTATTCTTTTCCTCCTACCTCTTTGCACGTGACTTATAGTTACTGTATTTTGCCATTTTAAAATGTAAAAAAAATGGCTTCCCTTCCAACTATAGCTACCTATTGAACAGTATTTTTCAAAAGTTTGACTGTTCAACCTAAACAGGGCTCGAAAAAAACTGAAATTCCAGATGGATTCCAATAATATATCCTGCTTTCAATTTACATTTCAAGTCTCAATACTCTTCTCCATTTTCTATTACTTGGCTGTTGTCAAGTTATCTGCCTTAATATTTGTCAAAGAATACCATACTGTTACATTCACTGAGGTAAGAGATATCTTGACTTTGATACATGAATATGTGCTTTGGTGATGAGCTCTAATTTTCTAGAACTAAGCAAGGCTGTGCTCTAGCAGTGCCCAATGACCCCTGCGGGCACCTTACCTTTGTTCTTGTGGAGTGACTTAAGGACAAGCAAATCTTAGTTTTTTCAACAAAATCATGCTGCACACCCTGATTTCACAGGTTCAGGGCACTGGCCGGGCACCCTTTAATTTTTCTTAGTGTACAGTACATGTACAGCCTTGCGCTTTGACTACTTAGGCTTATCAGATCTGGGCAGAAGACAAATATCTAAGTGTCATTTTCCAATTGACCGACTGTATTGAAAAAGATGTGCTATTGTTTAATTGTAAAAATAGTTTTCAATTGAATAACTGCCATGTAATTATCACCTCATATAAGTAAAATGCACAGGAAATGTTTCAGGCAAAAGTAAAAAAAGTTTGGTAGGAAAAGGCCGCATGGAAAAATTCGCGGCAACTGGTTCAAATTTCAAAATATGCTGCAGAGATATTTCTTCTTGATCCTTCTAGAGGTCGCCACGATGGCAGGCTGCTTTCGCATTAAGCCAATTAAATAAACAATTACGCTTATGCTCAATGAACAAACGTTTACTGCTAACTTTTAAGATGAACCGGTCACCTGAAGCGAACAGTAACCTTTTAACATTAGAGATCGAAGTAAGAAGCGTAAATTAGTTCATTAAAAGCAAGTTAAAGAAGACTGCTTCGCGCTGACAAGTCGAAATCACGATATCCACATTATCCAATGCGATATTTAATAGCTTTGTACTATTTTCATCGCAAGATATTAACGGTACAAGACTCCTAAATGTTTTCATTACAATTAGCTCAGCATGATAAAGGTGTAAAAATGGCGCTAAATGAGAAGTTTACCCTAAAATCTCAGTTGAATTCGCTTTTGCAAGTCGAAGGACGTTGTCAAAAAGATACGTGAAGAGAATAACAAAGATAGCTTTCACGATTTAAGACTATCAAGCACTTTAAGCTGATATCTCGTATTGTTGCTGGTCATGGAGTCAACAGCACATTTGGATTTCTACTTAGCATGATCTTTTTAAACTTTTATCGCTTTTGTATTGCTGAAGAATTGACTTTAGCGCTTTATTTGCCATAACTTCAGAGTAAAGTAAATAAAGTTCGCACGGGAATGGCCTCGATCTGTAGAAAACAACATGTGTTAGAGCATGGCTTTCTTGCTGTGATAAATATGGGCCCAAAAAAACGATTTCCGCTTTGGAAGTCCCGTTAAACAAACCAATTTCCTGTTAATTTAGCAGAAGAACTTTTAACAAGTTGAACCGTACTTACCAAATTACTGTTGACGAGTACATTCCACATAGATTTTACTTCTTCCTTGCCTTGCCTCGCATTAATTGTTTGGCGCGCCAAAAAGTTATCTCGATTTCCACCAAAACAAAACACAAGAGGGTTACATAAATGCTACCGTATCATCGAAACACGTATCATAAGGTTGTAAAGCTTCTTTGAAAACACAAGTTAGGCCGGTAGACATCTGCGGATAGTTATTACAGACAATTGTAAGTGACCAAAACAGCCCACCCCTACAGCGATAAAACAAACGCTCCGGAAACCGCAAGATCTGTCACGAAATCTGGGCATCGATCGGAGAGTGACAAGAAGCACGTGACAGGCGTCAGCAATTGCGGAAAGTTTCTCCAAAAAAGAAACACGTCTAGGGTGCTTACCATTTAACAGAAAATTTCGGAAATTCCGGATGGAAGGAAAATGGTAAGGTCACTTTTCGGAAATTCCAACCGAAAATTGAGGAGTACGTTTTGAGGTAGTCCTTTCATTCCGGTTGGTACGAACCAAACGGAATGTTGCTTACCATTAAGCAATTTCTCAGTTTCTTCTCGGTTCCAGACTCACGCGACACAAATTCGCCCTTTTTTTGGATTCAAACCGTAACGGATGTGGCATTTCTACAAGAAACTGGCAAATCGCTTACCATTATGCTTTCGACACCCCAACCGGATTTTTCTGTCAAATGGTAAGCACCCCTAATCTACTATATATAAAAAAAGAAATGGTTTGGTAGGCACCTTACTGCCATATTCTTATTTTAATTGTGTAAGAATGACAATATATTTCCTTGAGGTTAATTTACTAGGGCCACAAGGGAAGTATACATTTCTGGAAAAAAAATTGGACGTTAAAAATTGCGACGTTATATTTTCTGAAAGCTCGAGGCTTCGTCCCTCGCAGACTGTCCAACCATCCCGATCTCGTCGGGATTCTCCCGATTTTTCTTGAAACTCCCGATTCCCGACCAATGTGCGATAGGGATAGGCTTTAATCTATGAAGTAGACTGGAGAGAAGTCAGATAACTGAGAAGTCTCGCTTTTCGGTAAGAAAAAATAAACTAACTTCCAGTTATCTAAGTGATTTCAAAGGACCCATAGTGTCTTACTTCTCTGCTGCATTAAGCTGTGAACAAAGGCCGTTCTTTCTAGTGACCTGCCTTATTTTAGAAACATTATTTTTCTTTGAAGAGTGATGGCTGAAACAAGTCCAAAGATTAATCCGGTAAACCGGCCAAAACGCGAGCATCACCACATGAAACGAATCCCATAGGAATGGTGTAAAAGGATAATAAAAAGTCCAGGCCATTCTAACAAATTCCGTACAACGGTATTTTGCAACTCATGAGCCTATAACTGCCAACTTTTCTTAATTTATAGGCGTGGCATTTTTATCATGAGAGTGCCAGGATTTTCCAAAGGGGTCCGATAATAAACGAAGATGTCCGAAGACATTCAAAAGAGACTTCCGAAGATGTTCTGAACAGTTCCGCTTTACACGAACATGTGAACACGAAGGAAAAGGACCTTGTCTCGAGCACGGTGACTTTCCTTACTAAAACAAGACGCTATAGGAGCGTACACTTCTTCTTTTTTGCGTATCGTGTGGTGTTATTTTTAAAAGCGTATTGAAAAGCAACTTAGCATTATTTCGGCCTGTGGATTTAGAAAAAAAAAACACAAACACGGCAGTACAGTTCGCGTGAAGATTATTATAAGCTTACTTCGGGCCGTAGTACAGAATTGGAAGTCTGATCTATCGGCGGGGGATCGAATTTGACCGGCAAAATAATAAATCTGGGTTTTCCACGGCGTATAACGAATTCCACGCTAGATTCCAGGGGAAAAAGACAAGGTTTCGACGGTAAAAAGCCAAACTGAAACGCACTTTGGAGAAACATGGCGCGAAATATCAAAGCAAACTCGTCTGCGAAATGAGACGCACTGAAAATTATTGCTCTTGTATCTCGTTAAATAAAGCAATGGAACGTGCTCGCGCGTCAACCAATGAGACATTTTTCGCCTGTGAACCTGTCACCCAGAGGAGGGACGACCGTTTCTTCCCGTTCCATCAGATAAAATACAGGTAAATTTAAACTTATTATTCTATAGCGTATAAACTTAAACTCTAGAAAGCAGGCGATTGCTGGACAATAATTACTCATTTTAAACAAACTTGTCTCCAAGGAAACCTTTATGTCTCTACTTTCACTTTTCTATCCGTTTTATCAGTCATCAAGACTCTAATTTCTTTACTAGGTCCTCATTAAATACGGCCAACGAAGAAAGGAGGTTGATTATAAGACGCTATTGCCTCCGTAAATATGACGAAGGAAAAAGGATTCGTTGTAAAAAACTGATCTCATATGATTGGGTCGTCAGTGAGCGCGCGCAAATTCAATTTTTATGTCACAATCCGAAACACGTTGATTTCACTCAAGAGGAACGCTATTGTATTGGTTATTTATTTTGCCTTACTCATACAAAAAAATATCTGTGGGAAAGAATTTTGTATATAAAATTCAAAATGGGGCAAACGCTCAGCAGGTTTAGATCAGAAAGAGAGGAAAAAGCCCGTCGGAAAAGGTAAGTTTTCACTCACTCTGTATCAATGAAAATGAGCTGGATTCTGATTGGACGGATTGGTGGGGCAAGTGATTGGTTTGAAAACTTTTTGAATTGAATCGTTTCTTCTCAAGTGGCTTTTTTGGCCGGAATACTTTGTCGCAGAGATAAGATTTGCGCCGAAAAAGTTTTCGGAAAATCCGGTCGGAAAATAAATGGGTCGTTCTAGCGGAAAATTTCCGGGAGCAACGGAAGATACCAGTAGGTTATTCCCATTTTATTGCTTAGAGGAATCTGATACCCAATTCTTCGTTTCCATATTTTTACTGTTAACTATTATATGCAAATTCATGTACATGTAATATTCATCTTTTTATTCACCTTTTTTTATATACTGAAAGGCCCGGTTCAGACGCCGTACTTTTCATGAGCCGAATCTGATACATTGAATTAATTACATAAAAAGTTCGGCGTCTGAATTGATTAGGAACGCCTGTTTCAATTTGGAGCGGCTCAGCCGTTCTTTTTGCCGAGCCGGGCCGGGAATTTCGCCTTTGGATCCTTTTTGGAACGCCTTTGATTCAGATGCCGAACTTTCCATGTACCGAACCCTTCAATTTGTATTGAAATTTGTATTGAATTTCCATTTGCTATATTTATAATTTGTTTGTAATTTCAACTCACCTCGGTCGTTTCTCGTTATTTCACGCCTTGTGACGTTGTTTCAGGGCCAAAGTCGCTTGTCGAAATTTTACTGTAACAGGGCTTCTCCAGTCGGTTCGCAAATAAGTGGCATTGCGGCAACTTCGATTTTGTTTTTGTTTGTTTGTTTATTTGTTCTTTCATGTTGCTGTTATCGCTAGTTAGTGTAAATCGCCTTCAACCCTTTCTGCCTCCAGTAACAGAGCAATGGAGAACTTAAGCAGCGACGACAGCGAAGTCATGAGCGAACAACAAAAAAGCAAAATAACATCATGAGACCTGCTCAAGCCGCTTCTTGGGCAAAGTAAACCGAAAACTTTAATTTTAGGGGGAGCCGTTGAGAGAATGTATATGAGAACCGCTAAAATAGGCTCCTTGCAGCTAGCCATTCACGTGGTACAAAACTGCCGTGCTGAAGAGCAAAAGTCGCACTGGGACAAGACAAACAAAGAAAATTACCATTTCAAATTATGTATGTCTTTTGTTTGTCTTGTTCCGGTGCGACTTTTGCTCTCCAACGTGGCGGTTTTGTACCACGTGAATCGCTAGCTGCAAAGGGCCTATAGAGTACTAAAGTGATGACGTCATAAAAATGAAATTTCTGAAATTATGGGATTTGTCAAGATATTCTGAAAGAACAATGTCCAAGAGGCCTACTTGCCAAAAATGAGCATTTTGGGGCAAATTGTCTCCGAGATCGTAGCCCAGTTATACTCAGAAAACTCCATACAAACCCATCTAATTTTTTTTGGGGTCGACCCAAAAAAAATTTAGAAAGGGTTTGTATGGAGTTTTGTAAGCATAACTGGGCTACGATCTCAGCGACAATTTGCCCCCAAATGCTCATTTTTGGCAAGTAGGCCTCTTGGACATTGTTCTTTCAGAATATCCTGACAAATGCCATAATTTCGGAAATTTCATTTTTATGACGTCACACTTTAGTACTCTATTGGGCCTGATATCAAGTTAAAGCAAAATGTTTTGATTGGCAAAACGACACGAGTCGCACGTGCATCACCCTTTTTTGTACATTTCTTTAATTGCCGTCACTGCACGACTACGACGTGAAAATGTATAATTTCACGTAATTTGGAGAACATGGACACAAGACAACGACTATCTTTTTCTTTTCCTCAACTTCGATACAGTCTTTTAGAATCAACTCCATAAAAAATTGCCAAGATTTGACGAATTGAATGAGATTAAATAAACGCGATAAAACGGATAAAGTTTGATGCAGTGCGACTTCTTTTTTTCAGTGACGGTTTCGTAGACGTCACCGTCCTCGTTGCCTATAAGTTCCCGAATGTTCAGCCGAAAGTTTCTCCTCACAGAATCTGTTTGACTTCTTGATCAACAGAAGGCTGATCATTCGCCTAGATGAAGCACAGGAATACATCGAGTGTCTTCAGGAACGATTCCAGCAGATGGAGAAAGAGTAAGTTTTCTAACTTGTTTATTAAAGCGAGTTAAAATTAGGCTGAATTCTTCCTGGAATTCTTTGTAACGTAGCATAGTTATATTATCGTTAAGCTTAACTCTGATCTCGTTTAAGTCTGCAAATGGCATGTAGAGAATAAACTTCAAATGCACCCCTCTCATCAAATTATTTTAATTTATTGGCCCCTTCTACAGTCTGAATAATGGGACAAGTGAGAAACCCATCATTCGCCACTTCCGCATTTCCCAAAATGCACCTTGTTTGCTCCCCAACCTTTTGGATAAGCTTTATAGAGAGATTACAAGTCACGTTTACGGCGAACTGCAAACGTCAGATTCAAGTTGAGTATTTTTCGAAACAGAAAATAAGCAGACAAAAACTGTCTAGTTTAATTTTTATGGATAAAACTGGCGCGAAACTACTTATTTTCGAGTAGAAGTAATAAAAAGTAAACGACAAACTTGGTCGATCACGTGGTACAAATTCACGTTTGCCGTCTAGCACAAACGTGAAACTTAGTCTCTCGAGCTCTATTGTTTTCAGCTTCTCTTGGGACGGCTGTAATACCCACAAGAAATTAAAAACAAATGTTATGTAAAGTTTTAGGCGGCGAACAAGGTGTATTACGGGAGATGTGCCAATAGCGAATGCTAAATAATGACCACTGCACATAAATACCTAGGAGTTCAGACAGATAGATGAAAAACTTAGCTGGGATTTTCATGTCATGTGTAAGAGGCTCGCAGAATAACAGAAAATTTATAACTCACGAACAGGAACGTCCTATAGGTTTCCTTTCAGTTTAACTCATCGTGTCGGAAGAACAGCTGTGACAGGTGAGGAAAGAAGAGCCATAGAGGGAAAACAACATGCTAGGGATGAAAGATATACTGAAACACTACGCAGAGATTTAAGGTAGAAAATTGATTCTATAATGTAATACAGGGCAAAACAAATTTATAAGCGAGGGTAAACAACCACTACAATAAAAACGGTTGCGCTCTTTCAAAATTTATTGCATTTATTTAGCTTCTTTCAATTTGCCAAATGTACTTGAACATTTATCTTTAGTTGAATTGTTTTAAAAGGACTCTATCTAGCTATCTGAATTCACAAATAGAAAGGAGATTTTTTGGCTGGGGGGTAATCAACAAAGTTTTATAAGGAGTCGAGATCCAACACCTTACCCTTTTATATACCATTTTTGACCGAAAGTACCCATTTCGTATACCTTTATTGATCATGACAAATAGTAACTATGTAAAAAAGTCATCATTTGACCTAGTTCATGTTACAAATCAGTTCATTAATTAGACGTCTCCTAAAAACTTAGTATTTATGACTTCACTTAAGTCTTTGCTTAAATTATTCCATACTTATACATCACAGTAATAAAAAGCGCGTTGGCCAGCATTGATTCTACAAGGTGGAATATTGAGGCTCAGGTTCTATATCTTGTCTGTCAGTGGCGGATCTAGGGGGAGGATACAGGGGGTGCGCACCCCCCCCCCCCCCCCCCCCGAGCCGCGCGGTTTTTTTATAAACGTTTTTTTTCCAAAAAAAAAAAAAATGGTTTTTTTTTGTTTGTTGGAGGAGAAGAAAGGGGAGCACCCCCTCCCAAAAAAACAACAGACGCCCCCCCCCGTCTCTTTTCATGCATAACATTCTTATAAACAGACCACGTAACTATACATTTTTTATATTAACCGAATAATGACCTGTTATTATTACTCTCCTTTATTATACATGTATAAGAATAGCGTTATCCAGATATCAGTCTTAATGGTGGTATACGGAGGCGTAAGTTCAACAACTTGTCAGCCAATTGTTGGGCTAGTGGGAGGTAGCATTTGGGGGGCAAATCCCCCCTCCCCTGAGATGACCTGCGGTTTTCTAATACAACTGGTATTCTGCAAAAAAAAAAATTGTGGTTTATTGGTGTTGAAGTAGGGCAAGAGACGAGTGCACCCCCTCCTAAAAAAAACCCTGGATCCGCCCCTGTCTGTCTATCATGGACAATAGCTTGAGTTGAAAATTTATTTGACTTTTGACTGCTGTAACTGCACTCTTTAGTTTACATATGAATGAATCACAAAACCGGGAAATGTTTCGACTTTTTCATTGCTATAAAAGCCTTCTGTTAACCCTTTTCGGTCCTTTTACAAACCAAAGTGACAGATATGATTTGTCTACATTTTCATTTACTTCAACTAGTTAAATACCTACCCTTTAATATAGCTAAAGCGTAAAAATGGTACCGCTTTCGGGCGGAACCTCCCCTTATAGGCCATTATAGGCTTGACCCCCCGGATTTGTTGTGGTGTGTTCACGTTCTCCATGTATTAGGAAGTTTCACTCTATAATCGTCCAGTGGACGTCAATGAAACTGTATCAAAAAATATGATGCAAGTGCAGAGCTCTTGCTTTTTTTTCTTCATGAGAAAGAATTCTTTTTTATTATTATTTTTTTCACATGTTTCACATGTTCTAGGAAATATAGAGTCCTCCCAGGAGCATTTGAAAACAATAGCTTATACAAAATCTGGGGGGCAAACAGAGTGTATCATGGGGGATTCGAAAATAGAGAACTGATTATTGTTATTGTTGTAACCTCCAATAAGCTCTTCCTCTTATAGACACGCTTTGGTTGCCTCTCCCTTTCACTAGGGTCCTTATCATCATCATCATCATCATCATCATCATCGTCATCATCATCATCATCATCACTATCATCATCATGAAAAAAGTGAATGCAAACGAAGGGTGAGACCTACAGCACTTTTAAAGCCTGCTCTGACAGAAATGAGAATTGAAAGAAGCTTGAATTTATTTAGCTTGCCTGTGTAACTGACGGTGGTTTAGACAGGCTTCATTCCGCGGGTGCTCTGCAAAGCAGCGAGGAAAATGGGGCTGGATGAGTCGCCAAACAGCACTCTTACACGCTTATCCCGCCAACATACAAAAAGAGTTCTTTTACCCGGCTAAATAAAAATGACTTTAGTACTTTTTTTTTCACAGCGATCTTGAAAGGAGGAAGAATGAAATTCAACGAAAAAGTTCCGAAGAACGACGTAAGCTAGAAAAGTTAAAAGACTTAAAGCAAAAAGTTTTAATGAATCAGCTCCTACAGCGGATCCAGCTGCTTCCGAAGAAACAACCGCTGGACACCAAGACTGTTTGCTCACTTCCTGATGTTCGCTTCGCAAGTTGCGCTTTTAGTGATGTGACACCTTAAAATAAACAAACAGTTATAAATAATTATTTACTTATTATCTACCTTGCAAACAGAATTACTAACTTTTTGCGAGAGCAAAGAATACGTTTTCTTTTCTGATTCATTATTAAACGTGAACAAGTGAAGAGCAATTTTTGTTTTGTTCAAGTTTCTTTAAAATCCTGAGTTAAGATGTAGTACCTGTAAACACTTGTCTTGATGTCTTCATTTTCGTAGTGGAAAGCAAAACAAATAAGCCTCTTCTAGGAAACCTTCAACGTCAGCCTCGTTCCCAGTCGTCCTCGGCGATTTCGGATGTGACGTCACCTGTCAAGCTTATCGGGAAAGTTCGCCGAGGACGCCTCGCGCTATCGCACTCGGTTCCAAGCTTCCTCTGGTAACTCGGAAAGCACGAACTGGCCTGGGTACGAGGCTGCTTGAACGTGTGTTCCAGATCGAATTATTTGAATCAGGCCATTTTTTACCTTTTGTGTCGGGGAGGGAAAGACAGAGAAACCAGTTTGAGAATTTAGGGTACCAGAGAGTCTTTTTCTCAACTAATTGTTGAAAGGTCGAGTTTAAACCGTGACTACGGTCCATCTAATCCTACGTATCGAAAACGGACCTCTGGAGCCAGAACTGAGAAATTGTTCCTCGGAGAAAGAAAGCCAACTAGTAGAAACAACAACTTAGGTGACAACAGCTTGCCTGCTTTGCGGCTGGGCTCCAGTGAACAAAGTATATGGGTAAATTGTTTGTTCAAATCAAAGCTGTCCGTCTATGTTGATTCGAATTCGCATCACTTAACCCTGTGCCTTTGTGGAAGCTGACAAAAGCCGAACAGCGTTTGCTTTTTTTTAAATTATCAAGCAAAAAATCCTGAGTACGAGAGAGTTTTTTTCTCACGGCGTCGGGATGCTACAGTATCGGCCGTTCTTCGGACGAAACCACTGAGTACATGCGCATCGAAGACACTCGCAGTATTTAAAGAATCAAGGTTTTTATAGTTCTATCAGTTGAATTCTTGCCAGCAGAAACCCACATTCCTACTATGGCTTCTTCATTTGTCATACAATCTCTCGATCTTCTTGAGGAGATCAATGAATTTGTTGAATTATTGAAGTTTAGGCTGTCCCCTCCTTCGTGGTTGCGGTAGCCCTGTAATTTGTGGCGTATATCATTGTTCGCTATAACTTTATACAACCCCGCCATACGACCACCCCGTTAATACGACCACCCCGTTATTACGACCACTTTTTTGTGGCCCGAACAAAAGCCCACTCATTTTCTTATCTGAAAACCCCGTTAATCCGACCACCCCGTTATTATGACCAACGACCACCTTTGGGAGTCCTGAGTCGTTATTTTCTTTATAAAATTACCCCGTTAACACGACCAGTCAAAATGCTTGGTGGAACTGCTGAATCAAAACAGACACAATCTGACAAACAATAACGCATTACTAATATTTTATTGAATGTTTTTAGGCCAAGGTGTTAGTGGTTAGCATGACATCCGGTAAATTGCAGCGTTCAGTAAAAAGGATGCATGAATATGCAATACAAAAGATCTGAAAGACTTCACTTTGCAGCATTTCAAGGCTCTCAAAGTTATTTTGCCTTCTTGTTTCTGTTGCCTTCCACTGTAGCTTTTCTCTTCAAGTCCATTTCCTACTCTTTTCTCATAGATCGGTTATTTGAAATGTCTGATAATTTGTTAAGCATATCAACGTTTCTTGGCCGTCCAGTAAAACTTGTAAACGCATGGGATTTCCATCCCGTATTCTCCCCCACATTTCACAAGCCCCTTCCTTTCATAACAAGGAACTGAAAGAAGTTAGCCTGCGGTGCAGGCGTTTTCTTTGAGCGCGCAATTTGCTCGCAAAAGCGCCATGTTGAAACTAAGGGTTACTATTTCTACTCTCCCCAATCTTCCACCGTCATAAAATCAAAGATGGCGGCTACAACAATATTACGAACACGAACAGGCCACACGAACAAGGTTTCGCCCACCCAAAATATTCCTGCACTGCAGGCTAGAAAGAAGTCAGTGTTCTTTCTCAGTACTCGGTTTCGTTTACTGTTACATTGTTCAGTTGCATTGAATTGCGGTTGTAAGGTTGTTAATTAACAGCAAAAAGGTTGATTTATAGCGGATTAAAGGTGTACATGTAATAGAATGTAGTTTAAAAACATTTTGCACCTTAACTTGACCCTACCCCGTTAATACGACCACCCCGTTAATACGACCAAATTTCCATGGTCCGAAGGTGGTCGTATTAACGGGGTTCCACTGTAGTGAGGAGCCCCGCCACAAGGCAGGGCGATGAAAAATTAGTCTTACAGACTCATTCAGTTGTTCTCCTCCACGGAAATCTTTAGTAAAAGGCGAAAGATTTTTTATGTTTTAGGGCTAGTGAACCCAGCTGAGTGCAATGCTGAGCCACCATTAACAATAGAACACACACAAACTAAACAGACTTGCCCAAGGAAGGGTGCACCAGCACGCCAAACTCGCCGGGGGAACGAACCCCGCCTCCCCTTACAAAAACACATGACGGGGCAAAAACAACACCAAGACTAGACAGCACTAAGGGACAAGTTAAAAACGCGGGAGAAACCAAAACAAAACCAGATAAAAACCAAACCGGGTGTCTCCCCACCAAGCTGATGGCGCGCTATATGATGGAACAAAGGGCCAGGCAGCAAAGCAGAGAGCCAACAACCAAGTACAAACAAAAAGGAAAGCAACTAAAAGGATAAAGCTAAAAACCTAGATCGATAAAAACAGACGGCCATCTCGGACTGAACCAACCACACCATTAGCACACCACTGCCGGACAAAATAACGGCGACGGCGCGACGACCTGAAACGGCGGAAGAAAAGAGGGAGGTGAAACCGCAACCGAGATTTAACACACTCCAGGACCGGGATGGCTCCTGGCCGGACATCACGAAAACGAAAGTCATTTCGGGCCACCCAAATTGAAAACTTACAAACATTAAGCGCATACACAAAAAACCGAGGAACACACAGAAGCTCATCACTAGAGAAACCAAACAAAACATGACGCGGCAAAAGAGGACCAAAAGACGGAGAAGAACGAAAGAGCAAGGAATGGAGCCAGGAGAGAACACTGGCTGCCAGAGGACAGTGAAAAAACAAATGTTCCAGAGACTCAGTCGGGTGACCACAAAAGCAAACAGTTGAGATACCATAACCAAAAGACGCAAGCCTCTCAGCGGTGTACAGGACACCATGGGCAATCTTCCAGGAGAGGTCAATAACCGGACGATCAATGTCAAAAAAGAAAAGCTGGCGCCAGGTAGAAGACCAGTACAATTGCCCAAAGGAGACCGAAAACTTGCCAACACAGTGAGGAACAACAGAACGATCAATCAACAACAGAGAATACGCAGATTTGGTAGACAGAGAAGACACTGGGGCAACAGTAAGACCCATCCCCACGGAGAGCGCACCTCTACTATGGAGGAAACAACCGCCAGCAGACGACCAGGCCGATAGAAGAGCCCTATAGAAGCAGGGTAGGCGACGAAGATCACAAAACCGAGAAGGTGTAGAGAGCACTTGAACTGGCGAAACACCCCAGGTACGGACACACCAGAATGAAAAAAAGGAAACCCAAGTAGAAGGGGAGACAGACAGGCGTCTCACCCACTGCAAAAGGAGCGCCCACACCTTCAGCTCAACATCCACCACCGAAAAGCCACCACAGGAGGTAGGCTGCACCACCACCCGACGGGCGACCAGATCACGCTTACCACTCCAGAAGAACTTGAAAACGAGTTGGCAGAGTTCACGCAACACAAAAGGGGGCATGTAAACCAGGGACGCAACATACCAGATCCTGGATAGGGCCAGTGCGTTGATGACAAGAGCCTTCCCACGATAAGAGAGGGATCTCTGACGCCACGAAAGCAAGACATTCTCTACAGCAGAAATACGCGGCCGCCAGTTGTCCTCCGGAGAAGCTAAGGGACCAAGAACAACACCCAAGATCTTAATCTTAACTGACCCCCACTCAATCGCAACCGGGCAATCCACTCGACCATTCCAAGCCCCCAACCACAAACCCTTGCACTTAGAAAGGTTCAACTTGGCACCAGAGCCTTGTTGGTAAAGATCGTAAACTTCAAAGGTGGCAAGAATACCACGATCCGTCGTCACAATGATAGACGTATCATCAGCATACTGAGACAAAGGGGGAAGGGGAACAGACGAACCAGGAAGGGTCAAACCAGAAATGTCCGGGTGACACCGGATGTTGCATGCTAGGACCTCAGCGACTAACACATACAGCAGTGGTGAAAGTGGGCACCCCTGGCGGACACCACGCGACAAGGAAAAGAAAGAAGAGATATGGCCATTAACATTAACCGCACTCTGAGAGCCATTATAGAACAAGTCGATCCAACCGGAGAAAGACGGCCCAAAACCCATCTTAGCCAGAGTAGCTTTCAGAAAGCCCCAATCCACACGGTCAAATGCTTTCTCCTGATCCAATGAAAGGATAGCACACTCAATCCCAGAGAGGGAAGCATAGTCAACAACATCCCTCAAGAAGGCGACGTTTTCTCCAATGAAACGGCCCGGAACACCACAAGTCTGATCCTTGTCGACAACAGTGGACAGGACCTTTAGGAGCCGACCAGCAATAGCGCGAGAGGCAATCTTGTAGTCTACATTAAGGAGAGAAATAGGGCGCCAATTCTTTGGATCCAGACGATCCCCCTTTTTAAAGGACAAAGAAATGACACCCCTACGCTGCGAGCGAGACAGACGACCAGCAGAAAAACAGGAGTTCAGAACCCTAACCAGATCCGAACCAAGAAGACCCCAGAACTTAAGATAAAACTCCATAGGAAGGCCATCACTACCAGGGGCCTTCCTACGAGCCATGCCCTGAAGGGCAGTAAAACATTCCTCAACAGACAGGAGGCCTTCACAGTCATCGCGCTCAGAGGACGAAAGATGAGCAGAAACATTCGACAACAGCACACCCTGAGCACCAAGATCAACCGGCTCAGCAGAGAAAAGGTCAGAATAAAAACGAGAGAAGCACTCAACCAAGTCAGGAGCAGAGTTAACTACAGTACCATCCGGGCAACGCAGAGCCGCCACAAGGCGGTCAGCACTCTGTTTCTTAATCAACCGGAAGAAATAAGCCGAGGAAACTTCGCCCTCCTCCGTCCAACGGACGCGACTACGGACTTGTGCACCACGAGCAGCTTCAAGGTCAAGCTTACCCAAATTAGAGAGGGCAGTATGATAAGGGGCAAGACAAAAAGTAGCACCAGCATCGAGTTTCTCCTTGAGAAAGGAAACAAGACGGGATAAAAGATCACGTTCCCCACGCTTGACTTTGGCACGGTTCCGACAA